TATTAGTACAGCTCAAATACTTTTAGTGAGAATAATCATGCTTTCATTTGGAGACTAGGGAAAATTGATTTAGTATGTTTTTTATTACAGAACATTGAGTTATTGTTTATATAGTAATTTTTATAACCATAAACATATATTACTCATTATAACCATTAAAGGGTCTGAAGCTTGAAGTCATGCTGATCTTAGAAGGGGATGTACTTATATGGACATAACTGCTTATAAAATTTTATACGTGATTTGAAGTATGACATCTCAAACGGAGGCAAAACCATCTTTCTGCTTCTCATGTGACAATTTCACACTAGGCTTCTTCTGTTTGTTCATGAGATCTTAATGACAACACAATCATTCCAGCATTTTCTAAGAAATCACTTTCCTGATTTGTTGCATCACAGAGAAACAGAAGCTGACACTTCAAATACTACAGTTGGATCAGAACATCAAAAGAAGCCTATACTATTGCATATGAAAACTTAAAACTATGATATCTTTCTCAGTGCTCTTTTTGCAGAACACATTTTAAAGCATATCTTGTCAAAATGCGTCACTTGAAATTACTCCACCTTGGGAGTCTCACCTCTTTTGTATGCTCTGAAATTATTTGAATGTTAAAAATTAAATACAATCTATTTTGTTCATCCAATCTCAAGCTTTCTTGGGGCTACCAATTTATATCTGCCTTCAAGGCTCAACTCTCTCTAGCTCAGCAGTTCCTTCTACTAGGGCTCTAGCTGTCCTTTGTAACACAAACAAATTTCGTTTGCTCTTTTCACAGTCCCAGTGTTAACTGGAACCTGCAACAAAACAAGAGAAGAAAATAGTCTGGAGTCATCTCAATCAGTCATATCAGTTAAGAAATAAGCACAGGATTTGATGTCAYTTTTACTGCAGATATGCCCACACAAAAATTATTAATTACATATGTCTTTTCTTGCATTGGTAAAAAATAATTTATTCTTATATTAATTTACCAAATGTATTATAAAAATACAAATATAAAATATGAATAAACATAATTATATTTTTTACAAAGCTGAATTACACAGAACATTAAAAAATGTGTTAGTTACTAGGTGTGCATCRTTTATGATATACCAGCAAGCACTCATTCTGTTCAAGATGCAGAGCAAACAGATTCCAGGCCTCGAGACACATGGTCSATTGTTAACCAAATTAAATTTTGGTGTCCACTTACACCACTGGCTGTGCTACCTTCAGCTGAGCATGGCATGTCAGGACCCTGCAGCCACCCAAACCTGACACCACCTTTATTCCACCAGTGGTGGCAGAGTAGCTTTGTAGAGGGAGAGCAGAGGGAGGAGAGCCTGGCTTGTGTCCCTAACAGCTTGGAATTGCTTTAATCACTGAGGTGCCCACACGGCATGAGGAAGTGGCTGGGAGTGAAGCTGTGCTCTCGAGAAGTCCTCTGAGGTGTACAGCAATGAGCACAGAATGGCCAAGGCAGACCATGTAACTGGGGCACCCCAATTTCAGCCTGAGCAATGCAATGTACAGCAGCACCTAATCCCCAGTAACTGGGATGTGAAAAAATGGTGAGATGGCACACAGCATAGTCATAGAGGTATGGGTAGTGAAGTTAATGATCTTTAGGCTATATACATACCTTCTTTTGCTGCAATCACATCTCCATTTGCAATGTAAAAAGCAGTTTTTAGATGCTTTTTTTTGATTTTTTTTTGATTTTTTGCATTTAGATGCTTCAGCATCTAAAATTCCCCAGCACTTACATGGCCTCACCAGTCAGAGAAGTCCAAAGGGGTCTGTTTTAAATAAAAAAAAACCCAAGTAAACACAATTTGGCAATCTCAAGTAAACACAATTTGGCAACTATACAAAAATAGTATTTTCCAAATGATATACAGACACATACACTTATTTAGAGAAATAAATAGTACTTCTAGGCTACATATGTTGCTAAAGTACAGGAATGYTACAAATCTTACCATGGAAAAACTCTTCTCAACAGCAGTCTTAGGGTGTGAGACCAAAAMATTTTAGAAGAAGCTTATTTTTTGATTTTTAAAATAAGTTGAATGTTCAGGGTTCTGCACAGAAAGGGATTGAAAGTGCTWAATGCTGCCTATGATGCTGGGGAAAATTCTGAAGACATAGTCTGCTGCTAGAGTGGTTATGCAAAGTCAGGTGAAACACTAATCCCACTGATAATGATGGATTTTGAAGGGAATCTATTTAAGAGTTTTAAATACTCTGTAGGGGGCAGTTTTGAACCAGATTAATAAAATTTTAAGCTGTCTGATTCAAAGTTATGTTTTTATACTCAGTTTTATTATCCTCAGCAGCAACATGGGCATAATTTCTTTTTTTTAGGTAGATTTTGGTTCTTAAGCAAACAGGGAGCTACATGCTATTGTATAACATCACCCAGCTGAGGGGCTTATCTGCATGTAAAGTTCAGTAATGGCAGCTAACAATACTTTTTAAAATCTACCAGTTAGATAGAGTCATAACTGAAAACAATGATTAGAACTTCATGGTGGAGGCCTGCGTAAAAACCAGCTCTGCAAAAGGCCAAAGAACACAAGTARAGTTTGGGATATCCTTCACAGTTCTGGTTCAGCCCTGAATCAGGGCTCAATTTTGTTGTGACTTGGAAGTATTTATGACAATTTTGGGGGGGGGGAGGGCTGGAAAGAAAGCAAAAAAAGCAGCAGCTTCTTGGAGATGCTAGTATTGCCTGCAGCATTTTTTGAAATGCCTTTAGACATGGTATCATCATTATTTGCATTTATTTTAAGTGGACATGATTGTAGACCACAGAAAAAGATGTCAGCACACTTAAATGTGTTAGCTTAAAGATGAAGATTTAAATCAGCCTCTCTCCAGCAACACTCCACTTTGAATTGTCAAAGTCAGAAGTGGACTATAGCTGTATTTGATCTGAAATAAAAGAGAGCTATCCTCTCAGCAGAGTGATGGTTATTGTCACAAGGATTTAAGTAGAAGTGGCTCAGGAATGCAAACTGAAGAGTGGGAGAGGCTCGGTCACAGTCTTTTTTCCACTTGGAAAGGAAGAAACAGTCTAGGCCTCAATGAGAAAAATTAAGCTGTTGATGTAGGTGACCTCTGTAATCAATAGCAGAATGCTTCCAGTACAACCCGGGGCTCTCCATTGACGCCATTATTTTCATTTGAATGAAATTTCTYGTAGCGGATTCTAAACCATGATTCACAGCTAAASTTGTTACTTAGCCGATACTGTGACTAGCTGATCAAGTAGAGCAATGAGAGAGATTCACAATGATAGAGATTCACAATGAACACTGGCAGGAATTGAAAGGATCAACTCACCAATGTCCAAAGTAAGAATGAATGCTTGGCAGACGATCAGACTCGGCTCCTTAAAGCTTGAAGCTGATTCTGTTGCCTGAACAGGTGGTGGGATATCTTTTTTGTCCTCTCTTCGCCTAAAAGCTTTGACTATTCTGTTTGAGTTTGAATTACTTTTTAAATGGATGYACAGGGCTGGGCTGGGCTGGGCTGAAGTTAATTTTCTTCACCAGCAGCCCATACGCTTCTGTGTTTTGTATTCTGTGACTAAAACAGCATTGATGGCACAGAAATGTTTTGGCTCTTTCCGAACAGGACTTGCACAGTGTTGAGGCTTTACCTTTCTCATACTCTGCTCCCTTAGACAGTAGGCTGGGGGTAAGCAAGAATTTTGGAAGGGGAAACAGCCAGGTTAGCAGACCCAAACTGGCCAAAGGGATATTCCATGCCATGTAATGYCATCTTCAACAATAAAACTAGAATTGCAGAATAAGATGGTGAGGGGTTTTGTCTTCCAGGATCGGCAATTGCTTTAAGACTTGCTGGGCATTAGTCTGCTTACAGGAGGTGGTTAATTATTTTCCTTGCATCGCTTCTTTTTTTCTTTCATTCACTTATTAAACTTTCCTATAACCCAACCCATGAGTTCTCTGACTTTTCCTCATATCTCCCCATCTTCCTGAGGGGGAAGGAGCASGAGGTTGTGTGGGTGTTTACCTGCTGACCAGGGTCAACCTACCACAACTGGAAAAAACCCAACAAATATRGGCTGTATTATGATGCACTGTTGCATACGAGTTCAACAATGCAGGGTCAGCTGAAGGTGTGCAGCTTTTGCGTRGGAATTTCTACTACAAGGCACTCTGAAGCACTTTCTTCCACATCTAGTGCACATGCACATGCACCCAGTTGTGTCACTGTAGTGGCAAAACTTCCAAACAGGGCATGTCAAAAAGATGCAAACAGAACAAGTATTTATCCTCTGTTCCTCTGTCCTCTCAGCATGGACAAAGGATGGGTGCCAACGACGTAAGAAAACTTACGAAAWTAGAGCACGAAGGCAGAGGACATTGTTATTACAGTAACGTGATTTAATACGGAGTTCTTCTGTCCAAAGATATCTAACACTTGCCGACTGGAAAGAAGGGGACAGTGCGAGCAGCCCCCGCTGTGACCCTGAGGGGACTCCAGCGCCCGCCAGAACTCACATCCAGCACGGCGGCTCTTTGTCAGCACCGGCTGACCACCAGTGTCAGGCGGCCTGCAAACCAGCACATGACAGTTTGACCCCCACGCTCCTCGGCTTTTGCGTTAAAACACCTTTGTTTTCTGYAAAGAGGGACCAGCGAGAGCCGCAGGACGACGGGCTCGGTGCCCCCGGCCCCGCCGGCGCTCACCGCCTGCCCACACCCACTGAAGACTGGGCAGAGCCGCCCGGGACACCGCGACACCGCCGAGGCRCGGCGGGAGCGGCGCATGGGCAGGGCCGGGTCCGGCCGGTAAGATACGGTGCAGTAAGGAGCGGTACGGTTGAGCCGGGCACGGAGCACRGCACARTCCCACACACCCCAATGCCCCCACAGGCACCGCCCGGCCCAGAGCGCGGAACAGCAACGCCCCGCTCCTGCGCGCCCCGGGCAGCGAGGCGCTGATTGGCTGCCGGCCCGCGCGGGGCCTGGTGGGAGCAGCGCTCGGGCGCCGCGCTCCTCCTGAGGCGGCGGCGGCGTTGGCGGCGGGCGGGAGGGATGCGGGGCCCGGCCCGCGGCAGGTACGTGATGGCGGGGGATGCGCATACCGGCCGGACCCGGCCCCGGCCCCGGCCCCGAGCGGCTGCGCGCTGGGAGAGGGGCGCGGGGTGGCGGGAGAGGGGCGCCCGGCACTCCCCATATCCGCACTCAGGCACCGGCCCCGCGTCCCCGGGGCACGAAGCGCAGCAGGGCGGTACGTGCCCCTTCCCCCTCCTTCCTCGCCGCGGGCAGCRGGCTGATGGCGGGTCGGGGTGCAGCCTCGGAGGAGGAAGCCCCCGGCTGTGGGGAAGGGCGGTGGGTGTCCCCCCCGGAAGCGGGAGTGYGGCGGCGCCGTGCGGCTGTCCCGGCGGGCGGGCCGAGGAGCCGGGGGCTGCCGCTGACCTTTGCCAACGCCCTCCCTGCCCGCCCGGCCCCGGCCGCTGGCGGCCCCTCGCACAGCCTTCAGGAGGTTGRGTTTCAAAAAAGAGGGCCTGACCTACCTACTTCTCGCTCCATCGCCGTGCAGTCCGTATGGCAGCTAATTTGCCTTTTTGATTAAGGCTGTGCAAGCCTCTCAGGCGTAGGACTTCTGTAGGATGCTTCCAGACAGAAACGGCTGAAAATGAAGTTTAAATGGAAAGAAGTAAAGTGTCTTGATGTAACTGAGGCGTCCTAGGACAGGCCAGCAGTAGGTGGTGGGTGATGCTCCTAGTTTGGTTTTGCTTGTTTCCTTGTCCACGGCATTCAGCTGGAGAAAGTTTTTATGGTCCCAGTGGAAGTTTCTGAGGTCRGTAAATTGGGAGAGAACTGTAAGCAGAACTGGAGATTCAATTTGAAAGGTAGAACTTGTGTTCTTTGTAATGGTAAATATCTAAAAATATTTACATAAAGTGAAGTCACTAAGTTTGTAAAAAAGAATTATTTAAAAAGCCTTGCCCATTCCTTTAGGGGAAAGGACTGTGTCTGTATGCAAGGCCTTGATTAGAAGTTTCTAACTTCCTCTTTTTTTTCTTTTTATACGTCTACTCCTGATATTATTCAGTCATGAATTTCAGCATGTCAGTTTTTAAAATTTACTTGGGAAATTGAGTTCTTGGAGAACTTTTAATCTTTAAAACGTTAACAAGCCTGAAGAAATTTGAAACTSACTTGATAAGAGTGTAATGAGATCATGAAGCTATTTTCTCCTCCTGGGTGGATGGGCGTGGATGATTTCATGGATTCATGCCTCTTTCAAAAGAGAAGCCTTTTCTRTTCTGGTCTCTTACTCTGGCATATCTCCTTTTTAATAAATAACTTATATGTTTTGGGAGTAAAGGAGCTGTTATCAATATTATTTTGGGAGAATGAGCTAACAAAATTGGTAGTAGTGTTTTCTTAAGGTTCTCTATTCAGTGTCTTTAATGCTTCTGTTGCCTGCTCTAAGACACGTTGCAGCTATCTTACTTGTGTATTGAGTTAGTGATAATGTGTGTGGAAATGAGTCCAGTTGCAGTGCTGCTTAGTCAGTGGAATGCACAGCTCTAYACTAGAGTGCATTCTTCAGAAGGGAAAAGTGCTGTGCAAGAATTTATTGGTTAGAGCATGAGAAGAAGCAACTTGTGGAAGATCTCTTGCCATGAATAGTAGGATATTAATAGTAGGTATGTGGAGTAGCAGGTAAGGAGGAGGGAGGAGAGTTTGAAGCAGTTGAAGACAGTTTGTGTTGTCATGTCAGAAAGAAGAGAGGGGAAGAAGGAAAACATCTGAGGCAGTCCTTAGTAATCAAAGAAAATTCTCTATCTCCTCACTGAGGATTCAGTGACTAAACTGTAAATGTGAATCTGGGGCCCTAATCCCTTAATACCTCTTCGCTGAAGGGTTTTGGTAGTATTACTGACTTGCAGAGCAGCATTTGTAAAGCTTGTCATTATCATAGCTCTGTAAAATCACATGTATAGGACACTTGTCAAACCTGTTTCTCTTCCAAGCATTTGCCACATATTAAAAACACGGTGAATGTTTTATTGATATAGGTCAGTGTCACCAGTAGCTCATAGATAACCTACTCCCAAAAGATCCTCTAACACTTCTAGTGCAGAGGTTCTCAAACTATGGCTTGAAGGAAAATATCAAACGCAAAGGCCATTTGCGTGAGCATCTGTGTATCTCTCTGCATCCACAACTGAGAGCTACCATTGCTCCTAAACAGCAATGGCAGTGCTAAGGAAGCAAGCTAGATTTGGGAGTCTTGTGCTAGCTTTACAGACTTCTCAGTTGGCTATGTGAYGTAGTATCTTTTTTTGCAAAATAATTTGAAAGCTATCTATTTCTGTAGAAATATCTGTGAAGAAAGTGTCTGCTCAGACCTGCTGCAATACCCATGATGCAAAAATTCACCTGTATCTGCAAGGTTACTGTTGTGTAAGATTCTTGGTGTTAGACTCTATGTTTGAAAAAAAAAAAAAAAAAAAGAAAGATTGCTGTTTTACTGAGGTGAGTTGCTGCAGTAGTGATTATTTTGAAGATTTGTTCGAGTCCGAGAGGAAATAATGCTTTTTCTGTATCTCACCCCTTTGTGCTCCTAATTTGGCAGCAGCAGAGCTAATTTGCCCATCTGTTCTAGCTTCATTTTTGTGGYATTTCTGGCATGGATTTCCTTATCTTTAAGGAAAAGGATTGGTTTCTGGAATCCTAAGGCCTGTAGTTCTGAAGTCCTGGACTTTCCTAAAAGGTGGTGAGGTTACCATACCACAGTAGTGTTTGTGATAGTGAGCACTGCATATCTTATGCATATTAATTTGTTCTAACAGCCTCAAACAATTTGAAAACAAATTTGGATTGGCCAAAACTGGAAAGATGTATTCAAAGGTATCTTAATGAACAAGATAATGATCGCTTAGCACTGATCTAGCTAGACATAAATATTTTTTTTTTTAGTAAGTATTACTGTTTCATTTCAGAATGAAAAAGGTTTGAGCCCTAGTTGGGGCTGARCATTGGTTTACTGTCAGGGTTGTTTTGAACTGATTACTTTTTWGTTCAGTAGATAAAAAACTTGTAAATTAAATGACTGGAGAGAAATTTTGCTGTCCTARGGTTCAGAGTCAATTGATTCCATTTTCTTCTGATAGAAAGTTGCTACAACTTTGGTTTAGGAACTTAGATCCAGATCATCAAATTAGTGTTGTTCATGGGTTCCAGGTTTGTGTAGGGTGAGATGAGCTGCTTTTGCCCCTTTGGAACTGTTTTGGTGTAATTTGTTGTGACTGGATTGTTCATTGTGGGTTGTGCAGGGGAGACCTGCCAATGTCGTGCTTCTTGTATAGCAAAGTAAGTCTTTGATTATTTGAACTTAAAACTGATCATGCAAAAGAACAGTAGTGCTATGCAGCACATTCTTGTTGATGAGAGCATACAAAGGAAGTAGATTTACTTGAGAAATTTTCTCATGAACAGAAGGATATTAATGCTGAATGCCTACAGTGGCAACTGAAAAGGAACACTGAATTATGCTTATGAGCAGCAGAGGAAATAACTGGAAATCAGTATCTTAAATAATGCTGCCCAACAGTAAGTTTTAAARATAGTTTTTCTGCTGGAGTGTTTTGGTGGCTCTTTTTGGAGTTATTTTGTGCCTGTGTTTTTGAGGATTCCCCTGCTGGTTAAGTATTTTCAAAATAAAAAMAACTATGGTCACATCTGAGCTGATCAGCTGACTAACAAGATGGCCTATGAATCAGAAAACTGGATTTAAAAATGACACATAGGTAAATAATTAGACAATGGCTTTATGCAATGTTTTGATTTCTTAAGATACTGCAATGAATTTATGAATCTTYGATTATGTTGTTTGATTGCTCCTAAGTGCTTAATGCTTTATTTCTAGCAGTGAATTCTTGTAGAAGATTGATAGCTCTGCCAACATTTGTCCACAATAGAAGATGGGTGGATTAATTTCAAGATGGAGGGTAAGTAAAATTGTGTAATGATGTAATAATATTTAGATTTAGAAGATGGGAGTACCTAGGGCATATTGGCTATTAGTGCTGGCTTAACGTTAGTGCTAAACATTTCACAAGTATGTCACTTAAAAGTCCARTAGTGAGATATCATGACCAAAAGTATTCTTTGCTAAATCACTAAGCTGTGGTTTAGCTGAGTAAGGTGTGAAACTGTGTTGTTGTCCTGTATTTCCTTTGCAGTACCAGTCTGGCACTGGCTTTGTTAACTTAGAAAATACAGTTTTAATTCTTTCTGTAAATCTAAATACTTARGTGGTGCTTCATTGAGATAGAAACTGCAGCATCTATGTCTTGGAAGGTTGGTGACTTAGRTGAAAATGGATACATGCAGAATACATTTCTGTCTTTTAGCAAATGGTTTGGTAGCTACTTACTCCTATACAAATCTGTCTTCCTATCTGCTTTTATTGGTTTGTATGTTATTGAGTGGTGTACTGGGTTTGAGGAAGAAGAGGCATAAGGTTTTTGATGACACTCCTGGCAGGTGTGAGTTGAGTCTAGGTTTGCCTTTGCTTATTAATTGACTTGAGAGTCTTCCATACAAACACCTTTAAAGGTGAAAGTTTAGGTAGAATGYCAGTTTTGTATAACAGAAACTCAGGGTGATGCAGTTTAAGCTATGGTTTTTGAATTTATGGTGTGAAGGGTGGGGAAAGATTGTGGCTTGATAATTCTCAGAAATTAGGAAAGATTCCTAGAAGGTGGATTTCCAGTTGCTCCTATGGGGAATTTTACTGAAGATGACAACACTTACTTGCAGTTGCTTATGATTTATTTATACCATGTGTCCTTGTATGGAATGAATAGTAATAAAAAGCTGGAGTACTCAGGTTAGGGCTTCCTGTATRTATCCTCTGTGTTTTGCCTATTTCCTCCACCATCAATTCTGTTCTTCTTTTACTTTCCACGCACACATTCATTATCACTGTACGTGCATTATAGGTTTTCATCTTTTGTGATGTAGGAGAGGAACCAGTTAATAGTCATGCCAACTATAAAACAGTGATTCATTACAGTCCCGTCTATTTGTCACTATACAAGCAGGAAAACTTCTTACCTTTATGTAAAATAGATAATTTATTAATCTATTAYGAATATGTCTTTTTGTTGGGAAACTGTTAATGTACAGTAATCATCAATACAGACTTTTGAAAAGTGAGATTAATATCTTTATTCTTTCCCTTTTAAGCAGGCAAAGCCTTCCACTGTAGAAGTATTAGAAAAAATAGATAAGGTATGTGTTTGCTTTTTGGTGTTTTGATTTTTTGTTTTTTTAGAAATATGCCTCCTCTTCTCTGGCCATGTATTTCTTTCACATTAGGTAAAATACTGCTATGAAATTTTAAACTATTTTGGTAATTATTCCAATAGTGGAGATTCTGCATTTCAGARGAATTGTTATCTTTTTTCCCCTTACTGTTTAGTCATTTAAAAAATACCAATACTGTAAAATAGATAGTGAGAAACTACAGGGCAAGTATTTATTTAGAGTGCCTGAAATCGGAATGAATATGAAGCTCCTTTGATTACACAATTCAGTTATAACTAATGGTTRAAGTCCCACGTAATGGAAAATGTCACTAATGCAAAGTTCCTTTCATCAGGTTGATTAGTAAAGCTTCAATGTATGGTTTTATGTGTAAAAGTTGTAGTAGTAGTAGTAAGAAAGGCCAGGGGCAGAATAATTGGATAGATGATTCAGTAATCAACTGATTTTTCACAGTATTTGTGACAGATGTCTGTGCTATGTGGGGAATTACCTGTTTTGAAATATGCTGTTAATATTTTTGTTTTCCTTTTAATGAAAGTGTGAGTACTCCTGTTGTCACTTGAAATACAGTCAAAATGGTTAACATAGCAGAGCATTGCTCGACTGCTTATTAATATGCCAGAGGCATCATACAGATGTTCASGATTTCACTCTCAACATGAAAAAAGTACTGAAAGGAAAACATGTGAAATGATGGTGRGGTTTCAGCAATTCCCCACGCAGAAAAGTGTTAGAAGCATTTAAAATTCTACAGGTGCCTGATGAAAGTTTTAGAATGCAGAGTATGGTTGRTAGTGATTTATGTGATTGTGAAGAGTGCCATTCATAAGATACTGGTGTTTTTCACTTGTCCCAAATATACTAATGCATTACGAATGTGAAAAAGTGCTGATTTCTAACTTTTTTTACCAATTTCTAATAAGGTGCAAGTGGTCCATATGATAACCCTAACAGTGTGGTGTATTTATGCTATGAAAGTTATTCTTTGGGCAAATATTGTCATTTATCAAAAAGCTGCTTGACTTCTCTAATCAAGTATCAAATTGGTAGGGCTRGTTTTTGCAAACATTTAAAGTCAGATTAATAAAACCACCTACTGATTTCACTAATAAAGCTGAACCCTGTTTATTTGCAGGAAATACAGTCATTAGAAGAATTTAGAGAAAAAAATCAGAGACTACAGAAACTATGGGTTGGAAGGCTTCTTCTCTACTCCTCACTTCTTTACCTTATTACTTGCTTAATTGTGTATTTGTGGTGTCTTCCTGATGAATGGACAGCAAGGCTGACAATGACACTTCCATTTTTTGCATTTCCATTGATGTAAGTAAATATGCCTTTTTTATTTTGTAACTGCTGTCTCTTTGATAAAAGGAGATGGAAAATACATCTCAGCAGGGGTTTGGGTTTGCTTTGACAGTCCTTGAGATGTCATAACTTGCAGAATTTTTTCTTCTAAAATAAATCCAAGTAGTTAGGCGAATACTTTCTTTCAGGGAAATGTCTCTCATGGGTCTGGGTTTAGTATAGAACCAATTCTTATCATCAAAAGATGATAGCATCTAAAGTTACTTGGCTTATCAAAATTATGTTAGGGCTAGAGAGCTATATCTGGGCGGCTGCTGCAGTATAAGCACAAGAGAACTGTTTTGGGTTTTRTTTTTACTGCAATTTGAAAAGTAAAATTACTATATGAAATCTATTTAAGGTATGTCACCTATATGCAAAATGTAGCATATAAAACCTGGAAAAAAATACAATGAATGGAGAAACTTTCATGTGTTAGATGACTATTAACACAAAATTTRCTTGAAAGGTCATCACCCTAAGTATGTTGAAGATTAATTTTACATACTTATCTGATTTCTGGAAAGTCATTGACTGTTTTCTTCCACAAGAAAATATGCAGACTTCATTAATGGAGAAAGTATGGCCTACATTTTTGTTCCACCGAGCTGATTGGCTGCTTATTGTGACGAGTGGCTTTTGTTTTCTAAGAAAGCGGCTTTTCCAGAAGYAAAATAATGGGCTCCCATCTCACTAAACACCTGCTTTGCTGCCTCCTCTTCCTCCAGACCATCAGGGAGAATAAAGCAGCCTACTGAGCATCTTTCCTACCGAYGGGGAGCGCAGTGCATTTACCAATTCACTGAAATGAACATCATAAGTACTTCCATATTTGGACAGCACCCTTGTATAAAAGCATGGCTTGTAGGTGCCCTAACTTTAAACTTGAAAGGCAAAGTCAAAAGTAAATATTTAAGACTTTGCAAGTCTTATTTAACCCTCTTTAACCCAGTTATTTAGGACTTGAGCGTGGGTCAGCATAACWTAACATGTGGAAAACGCCCAATTTGAAGACTCTTTTTGTATGTCATGTTGTGTTATGCATAATATATKAATACATTGTGTTGTGGATTCTAGTGGAGAAGGTACATAGGCTGCAGTATCTTGATTGGAAAGGATTAACATAGAAATTAGAGATGAAATTAATCTTTGGCAGTAATATGAATTAATTTTTTTTTAAGGACAAACATTTCAAAGTCTTTATTGTTAGTGTGCAACGACTGCTCATGCTGATAGGAAAGGCTTGTAAATGAGGAAGTAGTACCAGCCTCCTTTTGCATATGTGTGTTAGAATTAGTGTAGAAATGAAAGGTTTTATTGTTGAAGATGATGGCTTCTAGTGCTGTGGTTTGAATTTACATGTTGGATTTTTATTCTCTAGTTTGTCTTCCAGTTCTGCTTATTTTCCTCAAGATAGCTCCCTGTAAAATTCTGATTTAGATATCAGCTTACTGTGACTTAGAATCAGRCCATTGTTCTGTTATGACTTGCAACTGTTGATCAGATTTTTTTTTTCCTTAAGCTATTCCCCTTCAGCTTTTTCTTGGCAGATATGAGTGGCAAGCAGCTGCCAGCTTGTCTTTGTTCTCGGTCAAGAGGTGACTCCATGCTGAATGCCTGGTGCCACCCAGTAATAGCTCTAGAGAYTTTTCAGCCCTAACCAAACTGGAGTATGTCTGCCTCTTCCAGCCTGCAGTCAGTCACCAACTTATTTCTGCCTTAGGTCAGTCCCTCAGGGTCTCAGCAAGTTGCTACTGTTGGTAGAGTAAGTTAAGTTTTAGGAATATAACTTCACTAATTTTAAATGTATGCTGAAATACCTGAAAAGTTGAAAAGATATGTTAGCATGTTAGAAGGGTGCTCTTCTTGAACTGATTTTTATTTGAATTAGTTTTAATTTGTGTGTTCTGATTTTCAGAGAAATAAGTTTTCTTGTAAAATTGGTTTGAAATGATCTGCTATTTAACTTTCATCTTTAATTTCTTAAAGAGRAAATGCTTTTTTATTTCATAATGTCCTACCATATTTAGAATAGAGCTTTAGGTAGAAGACTATTAAGTGTACATTAAAAAAAAAAAGCTTTTGCCTGTGTAACAAGGTAGTTAAGGCARTTAAAACCCTGTAAATACTTACTTCTTCTGGTACTTCATGAAGACACATTTTGTGTTATGTAAGCAGATAAATCCATCTGTATTCTTAGATTAATTATTATAGCACACCKTTGGACATGGAATAGTTAAATTTCTTTGTTTCTCTTGTCTGTGGTATGTTGCTCTCAGATTCCAATTGCCTCAGCTAACTGGCTGAACTTGGGTTGTGTTGTTGATACTTGAAGGCATTTTGAACTGGGCAACCATTATATAAATACAGAAGATGTTCTTATGAATTAAATCAAAACTCTGYTTGAAATCTTAGAGCCTTTTGCCTTCTTTCTTATGCATGCTGTTAGTYAGATAACCTTTCTAGCCTTTAAGATTGATTTTTTCTTAAATGACACATTGCTAATTTCAGCTCTATTATTTAATTAACMTTAGGAACGTTTTGGATAAGGTGCTTGGAATAGCTTGAGGTATGAGGTTTGCCACTTGCTTATACTGAATTACTTACCAGGAAAAGTGTCAGCTTAATACTTACAAGCAATTCTACGCTKTAAAACAAATCATCTGCTTTTGATGATTGCAGAGACCTTTCAAATGTAAAATGGTCATAGGTCAGTTTAGTTTTATCTTGATACAAACTGCTCCAGCTAAGTCAGCTGAAACCCTACAGAAACTGAGTAGACTTAGAGCTCTCTAAAATCACCAGGACTCAGGTCAGTTAATTCTCCTTGGGGGAGTGTTTATACAATCGCTGTATCTCATGGATTTCGTTGATATTGAATTCTTCCCACAAATCTCCTGGGCCTTAATTTTGGGCCTTAACTGGTAAGTTTCTTTTTTTGGAAAAAATGCATTATAAATCTATCAAATAAGAAGTGATGACTAAGTAATTTTCAGCTGAACATTTTTTAGCAAATGATGATGTTACTTCTGCTGCCTTAGTATTTCTGCCTTTAGTAACAGTTAATTTTAATGGAAAAGAGGATTTTATTTAGAGCAATATTGATGTCTTGTTAACAAGATGCTAATTAAATTTTTAGTTTTTTTATATAAATAGTGTTTGAAGGTTTCTGTCCTTTGTATTTGCAAAATAAAATCTCACGTGGTAAGTGTTCTGTTTGCTAAATGACTTCAGAAATGATTACTGTAGTATATTTTAATTAATGTAATTCTTTTTYTTCTTAAGAATCTGGTGTATAAGAACACTGCTCATTTTTTTCTTTTCCAAACGGACAGAAAGGAATAGTAAGTATTTTTTTCCTTGTGTGTKTTTTTGTTTGTTTGTTTGAGTCTTTTTAAAATACGGAGCTRGTTGAGAATGATGCTTGCTCTGATAATGTAAATGTTTTTKATCATTTGGCTTCCAGGAGGACAAGATTAGCCTTTTAGTTGATACTGAAATGGGCAGTATTAGCTGAACTTTTTTCTACCATGTAGTTCATGAATGAACAGGAAGGAAATGCTTAATCTTTCACTTCCCTTATAAAACGTTGTTAACCTTTTCCTCTCTTTGTGTGTGTCAAAAGTGTAATGTTATAAAATAYGATGTGGAAGTGGGACTGAGAGGAAAGGAAATATGAACAGTAGCATGAATTCCCTTGATACTTGCCTCTCACAAGTATTCCAGCACTCTTAATCTGTTATCCTTATACAAAAGGGAAGAGATTTATAGCAGATGTGTCTAATTTATTTGTCAAGATAGCTTTTCTCTCCCAAGTTTTTCAAAGCATACTSTATGTTTTCCTGAGTGAGAAAGGTATAAGCAAGTTTTTTTCTGCTTTTTTGAGAGCAAAGGCAAATTGCAAGTCATGTAACAAAACCAGAAAATAATGGAGGTGTCCAAATACATATAAAAAGTTGTTAAATTTTGCATTAGAATGAATCTGCATGCTATTTAAAAACAGCATCTGTGGCTCTTGTCTGCAGTAGTTAGAATTCATCTGAGACATTCCTTGAAAKCTGTCCAGCTTGTAACAATATCTCATGGTGATGTGAGCAATAATACAGGAAAACCTCAATGTTGCACTGTGTTTTATGACTTGCAGAACAGCATGATGTATTTAATTTGTGACAGCTTGCAAGTTAAACATCATTTTTAGAATTTTTCTTAAACTTAATGTTTGCATTTTATATGCAAGCACAGAACATACATTTTTATGTAGAAATAAAATTCTCCATCTATTGTGTGGTGCTCTGTGGTTCATTTCTAAGGTGAAAATCTATTTGCATTTCATGGCTGAATAAGAAAAAAACCCCTATGTTTTTCTAGTTTGCTTAAATGTCTTTATTGCTGTTTTGAGCATGCAGGCAAGTCTAGTGCTTTTGTTGAACCTGTGTTTAAAGAGTTTAATAGATGATAGGACATAACAAAAGGCATTATTTCTGTGTGGTTCCAGAGACTGGATAAAAATGAAGTGTTTTACATCAAAGATAAAGGTCCTGTATTTGAAAAAGAAAAATCAAATATGTGGTACAAGAGTTGAAGCAGTAAAGCAGGAGAAAGAGTAGCTGAGARAGCAAACTGGTGACTGAGTTGCTCAAAGCTAAGTTTTTATTCTGGCATAAGTTAGTATAACACACTGAGTCACTGGAGATGGTTATTTACAACAATAAAGCTCTGTGCTGGATAACAAGATACACCAGGTTTGGGAAGGATGCTTTGAATGAAGAAAAATTTTAGCTAGAGTCTAGGAATGGTGATGCWGAGAGATTATGGAATTTCAGTTTTTAGGACTGGTCAGACAAAACTGTTAAGGAAGATTTAGGTTGATCTGTCCCAAAGCATAGAGAAAATAAACGAGGTRTATTGCAGGTATTGACTTCTCTAGTATGAATTATTTTTTTTTCTGTAGGTTTAATTAAGATGAGATATATTGGTTTCTTGAGAGTACTTTGCCGTAATTGCCATTTGGCCAYGTTTGAAGGGGCAGGTGTTTCATGAGCTGTTTCTTGTTGAATACAGGAGGTAAAGTGATCAGAAAGAAACACCCACACTYTAAACTGATTGCATTGTTTTGTGGAAGGCTATGTCTGAAGATGCTCTAGGCATTTCTGTACCAAAAGCACATTTCGTTTTCTTGACTAGCCTTGAACAGTTGGCTGTGTTCTGCTGTTTGTTTGGCATCATGGTATTGTGGTACATTTCAAGCTGTTAATCTGTGTGGGGCAACATGTGAAACTCTGTTCGAATATAAATGTAGAATTTGGTGAATGGRGGTACCTTATTCAATTGAAGATGCACTCCTTCTGGAATGGTCCATCTTCTGTGGTTCAGCCCACTACTAAATATGGTCTTTTTCCATTTCCTATTTATCTTAACAAATATGGATTGTTGTAGTTACCCTTTWATTGCATAAATACTAACCTTTCAAATATATGCATGGCAGTTTTAGTATTTTGCACATTTAATAAGGGGGTTTATTTGATCCAAATAGATTTCTGCAGTCTGGAAAAGTTCAAGTAATTATTTGTTCCCTTMATTTCAAGGAACAGTTTTCCTGAAGTAACTTTGAATGGTATGGCATATGTATTTATAAAGAAAGAAAGATACCAAAAAAAAGTGTGTTTGGTTTGACAGGTTTTGGTTTTGTATCTTGTAGTCCTTCTTTCAAAGCTTTTTCTTTATTTGAAATCTGAAAAATGGGTAAAAATAGGTGTATTTTTACAGTAAGTAGGCTGTCAGTGCGCAGTAAAGCTGAGAAAAGGGAAAAAGTACAGTTTATTGTTAAAATCTTGCTGTGAAGGAGGTAGTAGAAAGCTAATTCGTTGAGGGACAGTATCTTCTGTGTTAGGATGGTTTATTACAGTTAGTTTTYCATGAATGTCAAGCTCCAAACACTGACTTTCAGGAAAATCCCACATGCATTTGGCCTTTCTTCTTTCTCTTTCTCTTAGAGGTGTTAGGTGCTGTGCCTACTTATTGTAAGTCTCTTAACATTTAGAGCTGGTAGCTGTTCTTACAAAACTGGGGGGTTCGCTGTAGTCTGACAGTATGGAAAGAGGGAAATAGATTGAGCTTTGAAGTGCGGGATTGACCTGGCATTTGAAACTAGCGTGTGTTAAGAGGTTTATGTGAAGTACCGAAGCCAGTAAATCTGGTACTCAGATACATTAATGCTTAGACCTCCAGCTTTTTTCTATATTTTGACTCAATGAGATTAAATRTATTTGGTCCATTATTGTACCAGTTTTAATGTAGGTCAGAGCAGGGCACGGGCTAGAATTGGTTTGCTTAATGAGGAAATGGTACATAAAATTTTTTAATAGTTATAACTGTAAAATGATAACAGTGGGCTATAATTTATAAGTGGTTTCAGCATTTTAAATGATTTATTTTCACATAAAAACTAGTTATTTTATATGAGGTTTACTGATGTTTRGGGTTGGTAGTGGTCAGTGTCATTTTTCCTGATCTCACAGGGCAAAGTCAGTGTTTAGAATGTGCTGAAATTATCTTTTATTTATATTTGAAAACTAATGTATAATGTCCTTCTTTTAGATGATGCGCTGGAAGATTTAAAATCTCAAAAGAAAAAAATAGTAAGTAAAACTTCAAGAAAAGATGGTTGTTATGGTCCATTAAAACTGGTGTATGCATCAACTTGATCAACATTTAATCTCAGTAAGACAAATTTAGGATGCAAAAGGTTCCAGGTCTGGGATAACTTGTTCTCTTTGCAAAGTTTGCAACACTGAAAGCTGTTCCCTCTGTTTAATGACTCCATAAGGAAGCTTGCTGTTTTCTTAGATTGTTGGCTTCACCTGCCTTGTAAGACAAAACTTAAAAACCACCACCACCACCAAAACACAAACACTCTCCGCCCCCTGACCCTCCCCCACCAAAGCAACTCTTTCTCCCTCCAAAAACTCAAAAAATTGTATCTTGAGACTTTGTTATTGTTGAGTTTACCGAAGTGTTCACCTTATACCTGCTGGATTTTGCTATGGCAGCTAAATTAATAGAAAACCCAMAACAAAGGTACCAAAAATGAGTTGGGTAGAAGTCTGGTATTACATCATGATCTGTGGTTTTTTGCTGTTGAAATGTAGATGTAAAAAAGATAACCTGTAAGCTAATTATGTCATTGTCCTTTGGTAGAGAGGATTTGCTATTATTTAAATGGATGTGTCCTTTGGTTGTAGTGGTGATACAAAGGGGTTCGAGAGGCTTACATTTTCTGGGAAAGAAAGAAATTAGCAAGACAACWGTTGTTAAGTTTATTTTATGAAAATTGCTTAACTGGAGTTAGTTAATGTTTCCAATTAACATAGTCATTTGGTAGCCTTAAAGAAAAAGTTCTTGAAACAGAAGAAGCACAGTGGAGAACRAAAGAGTTTTAGGAACCTTAAGTGTAAAGTCTTCATTTCCGTTTTAGTTTTCTGTAATCATGAAAATCCTTATTATAGAGGAGCTGGTAATGCTGAATTTTTGTGTGTGAGAAGCACTTAGGACAAAAGGCATTGAATGAAAGATGAGATAGGAAGATCCTAAACGTTTATTTTGCATATACAAAAAATACAAAGCATCAAAATGTCATACTACAGTGAAACAACTGCATGAATACTCCATAACCAATGAAATTATAGTGTAACTATGGAGAATTTAAATTTGAAAATAGAAATTGCCWTTAGTATGTATTCAAGTCAAGCTTTAATCATTAAAGAGAAACTTCTAAACTGAGTTCTGGAAATTCCAATAACATAAAACTCAGCTGTTTTTCACAGTCTGTGATTATCASTTTGTGTTGTGGGTGCCTGGTTCCTAGCAAGGAACCACAGAGGACTTAGTGCAGCCTCTTGAACCAGTGTGATGCTGGTAGTTTTTTACTCAGAAGATGGACTTGGGAGGTTCATCTAATTTAAGATACTCAATTAAGCATTAGACTTAGATAATTATACATGAAATGGAACATGTCAAAATGAGCTGGAAGAGGATGCAGGTAACAAGACAGAATGTTTTAGATCAAAACACTGATAAAATTGCATTCAATACAATTTTGTTTTGATAATACTCAAATTTGATTTTGTTTTGGATTAGTTTCCTTAGGGGAGTGTCTTTGGCTATGAGTAACCTACTTTTTAATAAAACAAAACAAAAATCAAGTGAAATAATGGGGAGGGAGATGATGTTTTTCCTTGTTGAATTCTGATTTGCTGCTGAGTTTGCAAATAGGATATTACTAAGATATTCACAGTGTGATCCTCGAAGTATCTAGGATGAGTTAACTATGTGTTGTTTCCCGTTTATTTGTAATGCAAATTGTTCTCTAGGCACTGAGCCTTCCACAACAGCTGTGCCTTTTCACTTTGTTGCAGCTCAGCTGCTTAATTGCTGGAGAAATCTTACATTGAAGACAATTGTCCTTTTGAAAAATGTTACTGTACTTGTGTTTTACTGTCATGTGGCCACCTTTTCCCTACAGACGTTACTTATGTGGTGAAGGGGCATAAGGCTTACAGGGCTTACCTGTAAATGGTGTAAGCTCCTCATCTGCTGCATATAGTGCCCTGCTGGGTTTGCAGTGACTGCTCAACAGAAAATTTCTGTTCTGCTTAGGTGACGGAGTCATCTGGATACTCGCATGGGTAAAATACTTGACAGACACAAATACAGATACTTAATCTGGAAATTGTCTGTCCTGTACTTTGACTCAAAGTTTGTGTAATACTTCTCACAGAATTGACGATGCTATTTTTTTCCTAGTGAATATTTTAAAGCTTGTTGAGTATGAATTGAGGATGGGGATAAAGTTAATTAGCTGTAATTAAGGCGCTACTTCGAGATACCACTTTGTTTCCCTCCTTGATCGTAAGATATACCCTGGTTGTGTTTGTGGCTGTTGAGCTGTAATTTTGGCCTCAGTGTTTCTCAGTTAATGAGGATGTCAGCCCTTAAGCCTGAGCATGGGTAGATGAGCAAGTTCACAGAGTTAAGCATATTAAAGCAAGGGTGGAGGACATGTATTAAGCTGATACAACTGGGAATTAGTGGAGAGTTTACCTGGAACAGTAATCTTAAAGGTGAGATAATTCYTAGCCTGAGGACTAAGTTTTGAAGCTAGTATTGTAATTACCTTGCTAATTTTAGAATTAAACTTTGCTGCAGCTTGCTCAGCTACTCTGAATAGTAGGCTAAGTGTAACATTAGACTTTGACAGACTTCCTAGCCATTTCAGGTAAGGGTTTAGAAAGTTGCATCTGTTAATCTAGCAAAAAAATCCCAACTAGTCTGATTTCAAGGCTGTCTTGGAGTTATGTTAGTGATGGTGAAAAAATGCAGCATATGAATTCTGTTACTTTAAAATAATTACTCCTTAATCAACTTTATGCCTTCAGCCTTGTAGGTGTAGACAACCATTGATATTTTGTTAACTTTTCAGTATGTGATAGAAACACTGTTGGGAGTTGGCTGTTCTATAAGCCCAGTTTTGTCTAACTGGTATATGCTAATGTACTGCAAATGTGCAATTGGAGGCTCAAAAAACAGTTTAAAATCATATTTACTGATGAGGGATCAGTTGAATTATTTTTTCATGCAGTGTTCATACAAAGCAGTTACTTTAGTGGTTTTAATATTGGCATGGATCTGTTCATAGTATACTTGGTTACTATCACTTAAATAATTTATTTCTGATTTTAATGAAATTTTTACTYTGTATACTGGTGTATCTTACATGGTAGACTGAAATGAGTCTCATGGCTTTGTGTGAACATAAAGACTTCTTCGTAGTTGGGTTTGACATACCAAGTAATTCTCATTTTATKAACTCATGTAGTAGTATGTTAAATAATGAGTGGTTTGCACCATGCCAGTACTTGAGTCTTTGGTTGCTAAATTCCATTTATAAGAAGCTTAAAATACATTACTCTTAYTACTTTTCAATTTAGGCAACTGATGTCATTCCCACAGGAATTCTCTTTGGTTGCCTGTTGGGAAGGAGTTCATCCATACAATTAATTGTTCATAGGAAGTGAATGTGGTACCATGCTTTTTATTAAGATCTGATTAATTCCATGAAGAAACCATGCTTAGGCTGGTATGAACTTTCTTAGAGAGTTCACTTGTTATTCTGGTTGTTCAGCATTATCATTTTATTGATAAGGATAGACTATGAGTTAGCCCTTGTCAGAAAGTAGAAAATGTTTTTTGTAGTAAGGGTTTTGGATCTCAGAGAAGAACATATTACTGAAAAAGACCAAGAGGTGTTGAGCGATTTGCTGTGTTAGTGAGCCAGTTCTCAGCACTAGGTTAACATTTCCAAGATTATGCTTCAGGATGGTGAATGTTCCAGAAGTCAGTGTGTTGGTTTGTGTTCATAAATGACCCTCCAGTGTTGGCACACAAGGCAGTTTCTTCTTCTATGCAAACATAGAAGTASTATTTAAATTTTACACAGGCTCTTACTTTCTTCTAGTAGTTACATTAATTTGCTCACAGCAAGTAAACKTGAACCTTTTTGGCTATTTATTTGGTATTGTTGGTTACATTTCAATTTACTTTAGAAAAGTATACTCTAAGAYGGTATGAGAAATGTGAATATGCTTGTAGAAATTCTGCCAATTTCTGTATATTTCCAAGAAATTTGTAAAGAGTCAGTTGTGATACTGAATTCTTGTTCAGATTCAGCTTTACTAAAATTTTAAASCTCTCTATGAATTTCAAAATATGAAGAGTAACTCATTGAATCATCCAGTAATTATCAAATGTGAAGAATAACTTTGCCATCTGAATCTTGTGTGGTAAGTTTCAAATCTTGTGGTGTAATTATGTTTCAAAATAATGTTACTGTTTTTGCAAAACTTATGTATCCACAAATAGCTACCGTACTGTCTAATACTGCTGTGGTGAGAAGTGCTTTAGATAAAGRAAGTGTCAAGTGATGGTGGAGCATTCTGTTTTTTCTCTCCCTAAAGGACACTTTGTCCCGCAGGAGGCTATTTCTCATTTTTCTTTTTCACTATACAGACAATTGAAGGCATTTTATGTTCATTGATATGAAGTGAATTGGGTTTTTGGGGGCCAGACATTAACACTGATTGTTAAGGTTCTTTGCAGCTTCACCTCACTAGCTTTACCCTTTATATAAAAATGTGTCTTATAGTTTTTTACTTTTATAAGCAATAAATACTTTATTTTTCCTATTAGACCATTAATTCTGCTCTGACTGCACTGTGTGGCATTTGTTTTACAAAATTAGGGGGTTAACTCCAAAGTGATGCTGAAATACAAGTTTAGGAAATTGATTTTCACTTCCTTTTTCACTCCCTTTTATTTCAACAGTCCTTAATTAACAGCCTGGATAGTATTTCTTGCCTCAAACTTCAAGGAGGCTGTGGAGGAGCGAGTGTTAGATGAATACACAGTAGTAACCATTAAATGGAGTGAATTTTTATTTAGCTTCTGAGGTCTATTTGTGATCCTGAGATCTGTCTAACTGTAAAACTCGTGCACAGTCTGTATATGCAGAATGGCTGAAACTTTAGTTTCTCACTAGCTAAATAATGGCATAAAATTCATGTTAACCTGCACCATTTGTTATTTTAGCAGTGATAAATGAGTTTGAGAGAATTTAATTTTTTGACCACTGACCTTTTCAGTTTTGCAGTTTATGCCAACAGCAAACTTCAGAACAAACAAAGCCCCCACTTATAGCTGAACATGGCCATTAGTCAGCACATCTAGAAGGAAAGGTCTGCCTAAGATACTGTAAAATGTATTATRATTTCTATACATATTAGGTATTTGTCATAACGTCAGCTATCTCAGTTTTTAAGTTAAGCTGCTTCTGATGTTGTCCGTTAACCACTAAAAAGATACTTTACTAGTGATTACTTTTTTAATTAAGCCCATGTATTAGCTATAAAGCCACTTGAGTACATTGTAAATAAAACGCTGTAATAATGAAATGCTTTAATTACACTCCCTAAAGTATGCATAGTTCTCAGTAAATTTTTTTATTTAAATTCTTAACGTGTTCCTTTTTCTGAAAAGCAGTTTGAATTGCTGTAAAGATGTAGATCCAGCCTTTAAAGTCATTTGAGCAAATTCCATGGCTGTTCTCTAGTTAGTGAGTTTTCACAGCATTTGCAGCAAGCTAATTGCTTCTGCTAATAAATAATCTAAAATCGATGCTGACAGCAGTTAATTGGCACAGGGACTTTATTCTGTAAAGCACTTGGCTAACGACCTTCCTTAAATTAATAGCATTAAGTGCTATGAGGAAATAAATCTAAGGAATTGCCTGTCATTTGCTTGTCATGTCTAATAACTTCCAATAATGATGGCTGATAGATTTTTGCACATTCCATTATTGAAGTTGGTGCTTGTAATTATTCTCCTCATTATATGTAAACAATTAGCAATATTTGGTGTTTCCTTGCAATAAAGCTGTTAAGTTCAAGTAGTCCATTAGGGTTAAGGAACTATTTTTGAAAGCAAAATTTATTTTCCATTGAATCTGCAAGTCTGCAGATGTCTGAAAATGCTACTGGTTCACTGGATGGTCTTCACCTTAACATTGATAAGATGCTTGTAAATGGAAGGCTGTGGTGGGGGTAAATACTTGCAAAAATTGTCTATTGATGTGTGGAACCTTTCTGTTTCCAGCTCGAGGAAGTAATGGAAAAGGAAACGTACAAGAATGCTAAACTAATCCTTGAAAGGTTTGATCCAGAATCAAGTGCAAAGGTGAGTCTTGTTATTGATACTGATGTAATATGAAAGGTAYGATGGAGCTGAGCATTCAGATAATGTTATTTAATTGGCAGGAGACTGAACTACCATCTGCTGGAACATCTGCAACCCCAAGACCTGGACAAGGTAATAGCCCTGTAAAATGGGTGCTCTTTAGCATAGGTACTCATCTTTCACAGCAATTTCCACTCTAGAAGTCTATCTATGATAAAATTTGTAGATCAATTGACTTTTATTTAGGGTTAATAGACTGTTCATTAGGCTATGCCCATTACTGTTCAGTATTTTTCAGAGAAGGGATCTATTACTAAAGCCTGATGTTCTAGACAGCAGGATATTTAATGCTGCTTGATGTTAAAGCCGAGAGAAAATTAACTTATTGTGGCATACTTGCAATTTTTCTAGAATATTAAGGTATTTTCAAATCTTCTGTAATACTGACTAACTTAGATTTTCAATAGTTCCTGTTTCTGACTAGTTAGACTTTTCCTAATGCAGTGCTTAAACTAGTTCTGTTTGGTGACCAGAGAGGAAAAAAAAGCTGATGCAGCATATGCTGCATTGTGTTGATTGTGGCTTGACTGTCAGTAGAAGGGCGGGAGAGAGAGGTTCTGAGATAGAATTATTTCTGAGAGCCAGTCACTGTAGGCTGTGGTCTMCATTAATAAGTGTGGGATGATATGTGTAGATTTGTCAAACAGTTGTTGCTGAGCAGTTTGCCCACACTGTCTGTGCACAGAACGTTTTATTTAGCACTTGCTTTAAACTGGTGTCATGGGCTTGGTGGAAGGAATCTTTTAGTACGGTTTCATTTGCAAAGAATGTAAGTGCTGCACTGATGTTGTCATTATATGAACCAATATCCTCTAAGTGAGCAAACAACTGAGAAAATATACAATTCGGTTTCAAACATTCACATTTTTGGGGTGCATTGATAYATTCTTGCTTGATCCTGAGTAAAAGTGCAGTTTAGCCTTGGAAAGGCTTTTGGAAAATAAATTTTTTAAGTTGTCATGGCTTACAGTTGTATTTTATGATCTTAAAGGTATTTTCCAACTTAAGTGATTCTATGTGTCAATGTAATTTTGTTCATATACAGCACAAATTTATTTTCTATTTTCCAATCTGTTCTCTAACACATTGAATTTGGAATTGCTGCAGCATCTTGTCCCTGTGTGTTTAGTCAGACCATTGTATTTTGGAGGTACATTATAGTTCAAGAGGGACAGGCTTGGCTTTGGCTTATGAAATTACAGACACTTAATTTCTAAATAACTTGGTATATGCTGTAGTTATTTCAATTTTTAGCTATCAAAAAACCTACTGGCTTATTGCTGTTCACACTAAATATCTGCCCAAAATGAATATTAGCTCCTGTTCTGTGCAGTATATAGCTTACTGTAACTAGATGACACCTTTGTGTGGTTGTCGTGTAATTTGCTTCATGCAGTTTGTGGTGGAATTGGAGTGGTTTGGAATAATAAAATATCTGTTAGCAAATTAACATTAAAGCTTCCTTGGTCTTCTCTTTGCTTGCTTTGGACACAAGCAACAGAACTTTCTTAAGCTCTCTAATTGAGTCTTTTTGAAAAGTGGGTRAATAATGACCAATATATAATCAGGTTGGACAGTGTTGTATATGAGACAGCTGATGAAAGGTTAGTTAGTTTGWATGCCTTTGACTTACTGGTTGAAGTGAAAGCTTACACATCATACTAATTGGTACAAAGGTTTAATCAGTATTGCATAATTGTTAGTTCTCAGAAAACCATCTGGTAGTGCCTCAATTGTCCYGTATATTTAGTTCTTTTTGCAGTTTCTGTGATTTTGAAATGTACTGCTTAAATAAGTAATGGTAATTTTAACAGATGATTTAGCTCAATCTTTTGTTTGGCATGAAAAGCCACCAGGAAATCCAGAAGGAAAGGAATTTGAAAATTTAAGGGCTATTTTATCTCTTCAGAAATGTTTTGAGGGGTACAGTTAATGAATATGTACTTATTCAGTACTTTGGCCATAGAGAAGAATAGGGTAAATATATATTCACAGTGAAATATTTATCCATTGTAAATATCCTGTTGTTGTTACCTACTATTTTCATTATGCTAATTCGATTGTTAGCAGGGGTGTCTTGTAAATGAGATCACTTTGTGACCTGAATTGAAAGTAATGCAATAATASATGGTTGCAGGCTGTGGGATGGATATGGGCATGGGGAGGAAGAAAGAAAATGCTTGGTTGCTCTTTGACATTAAGGCAGCAAGTTATATAAAATATTGACCTGTGGTGAAAATAATGTATTCTTCTCTACACTTCAAAAATCAAGTTTTGAAGTGAGGGAAAAATAAAATAGTTATGCTTATAAACATTGTAGATGCCACTGCCTCAGCACTGCAGTATTGTAATATTCTTTTAAGAGCTCACACTGAATCATCCGTTGAGTAGATACCTCTTAAGTAATGTGCCTGCTTGTATGTCTGAATTGTCCAGTGCTGGTAACTGCAGAATTTAAACTGTAGTGTGTTTGGAGAATAAAAGATCTATTTTTAAACTATTTATCTGTCTTCATGCATTTGACTTTTGGATACACAAATATTACTACTGAAGAAACTCGTTAAAAAAAATCACAAAATTTCATTAAAACTGYGTCAGCAAAAGCTGTATATTGTGTTAGTGTTGAGATCAGTGGACATGTTTCTTAGCTGAGTAGTGCAACTTGGAATTATAGAGGTCTGGAACTTTGCAAGAGGCTCATTTTTAACACATTGCATCTCAAGGCAATTTGAGAAGTATATAGATCATACTCAGTTACTGCAGAAGAATATTAGGGCTGTTATTGTGGAAGTGCACAGCAGATGTAAAACGAATTAGGGGAGTTCATGAATAAAGGGTCCATATGTGATACTAAAATGAGAATACAGGGCTGTATTCTCCATGTCCATGACAATGTGCTTATGGATCCTGGGGATGATATCAGGAATGTAAGCATCTGAAATTCAGGTTAGTGTTGTCACTGAATAACATCTACAGCCACTGTGAAATGAAATACTGCGACGGATGGGCTGTTGGTCTTGCCAAGTAGAGCGTTTCTCACTTTCTCATAATGCAAGTTCTKGTGACTTCTCTTACTTGGGGAGCAGCAGTGTTGGCAAGTTCTCTAAAGTATGAATCATAGAAAAGAGTGAAAGCCAAGTGAACTTTTAAGTGAAGGGGATAAAAAAGGCATTGGGGAAAACCTAAGGTTTTATGGCAACTAGCAATGAGTTTCTTAACTCTGTAATAAGGCTAAAACTACTGAAGCACATCTCTCTAATACTGTACTGTAAAGCACTGGATCAGCATCTTTATAGGAGCAAAAATATGGAGAAAGAGTCATTAAAGTAGCACTATCTTTTAAATTGAAAGTCRTTTAAAGAAGGCTTGCCAAAAATGACCCTTCAGAAAGAACAGGCAAAAGGGGCAGAGTTCTTGCAGGCAGCATGGAAATTGCWTAGAAATAGTGTATTATGGGCTCAGAATAAATGTGACTATAGCCATGACCTATTGAAACAGACTCAGAGCTCTTAAGCAATTAAAATTAAAATGCATAAATCACATGATCTAGAAAGATAGCCTTCAAAATGTAAAAGTAACATCCATATGTAGAAATTAGTCATCATCTTCGACATTTTTCTATGTAAAATAATAATAAATAGGGTTTTGTAATGAAAAAATAATRGATTAAAATGTCTTTATAGATGTTTAAAATTATCTTGTAAGAAGTGGAATAGGCTTTATATTTATCAGTCATTTTTTGTACATATGTGGACCTGAGAAGTTTTGAGAAATTGCATATCTTTTAGCTTAATTTTTGAAAGGAACACCACTGGAAACTATAACACAAACTTGACTATAATGATTAAATAAATCATGGGTTGTAATCAGTATTTTGTATTTGGAGATGGGTCATGCCTGTTGGTTAGATGGCATAGAGATGATGCAGTTATCCCAGTGTAGTAAAACTTGGAAGGTTACAGCTAACGTCTTTCACAAAAAGCTCTTGAAGACATGTTAATGGTGATGTTCATCAGAAATGAATTCTTATTTAAGATAAAACTCTCAACACAGGAGCAGTTTGAAAACCAGAAGCAAGTTACCAAGGAAATATTAATGGAATTTCTGCAACTWCCTCACCAACTAATCCTGTTTTCCAGATTCTGAGCAGCTTAAATAGTGAGGGGGCAAATATGCTTGTTAAAATCAAGTTAAAATAAGTAACCTTCAGACTCATCGGGTGATGTAATTTGGGTGATGATGAAGTTGTGTGAGGCAATGCAGCCGTGCATAGGAAGGTGTGGCAGGGGATAACTAGTAAGTTGTTTTGCTTTGTAGGAAACTGAACTAGATGGCTTTTTAGTAAGACTTTGTAATTTTTTTAACTTGTGGTTTTTCAAGTGGTGATACCAAAGAATTTCTAGCTATTTCTTCTGTTATGTATTAATCCTATTTATGTGTACAGATAAGTAAGCACCATAACCTTTGTATGTTGCAATTTTCATGGCACTAGATGTTGGCTGTTTTGCCACAGAACTGTTAYGTTGGACCTAATGCCTCAGTGATAGCAACTTCTTAGCTAGTGCAAGCTGACATAGCATACTCACCTCCTTCACCCAAAGCAAGAGCTTAGCATGGTAGTATTATACTTTCGGTGGCAGGGGTCATTCCTTCAGACTCAGCACACCCATTTTTCAGTGGCTGGTTGCCAGTGGACCTGTAAACTGCCTGCTAAGCATTTAAACTCTTCCAGCCTGCCACAAAGTCAGCAGATAAAGTATCTCTAATCTTGAGACTYGTGGAAATGATTTTGAAGTCCAAATYTGGTGTTAAATTCCATTCGTTGAGAAGGTAGAAGTGCCARCTTGTTCAAAGTGACATCAGTGCTGTACACTAACTCTGTAGGGTGCTATACCCTTAGGTGTGGGTGTATTGGGGTGTTTCTTTTAGAGACTAAGCTGCTACTTGTTAACTAWGTAAATATCTGCTGACCTGAAACGATGGTTACATTTCAGTTGGACTTGTTGCAATAGTGTATGAATGTCGGGTTTGCATTACTGTTAAAACATTCAAACCACAATGTATTGCACTGGTAATATTTGCCTTCCGGTAAAAACAACTGAGGAAATGTTAAGTTTCTCAGGATAGTAATTTAATAGTAACTGGTAGTGATGTGAAAAGAGGTAAAAGTAGGGGTGTGTTCCAGCAAAGCCCATTCTTACTTTGTGACAACCCATGCACAGGTTTGATGGTAGGGTTGCTAAACAATTGAATGAAATTATATCAACTGAATGAAGTATTCTTTTCTCCTGTTTTTAGAATTGTTTCATTTTCCCCAATCTGTTTTTTTTTTTTTTAATAACTCTGGGTACTTAGCCTGGGCATTTTAGATACTGATTGAATAGTTTTGGTCCCATGGAAAGCTAAATACTTGGAAGCATTTTTAAGTCATGGACTAAAAAGTGGTCAGTTCTGTGCATGGTGGTTTGAGTTTAGCTGTTCATATGTTCAACACTCTGCYCTAGCAGGTACTTTATGATTCTGATCTCTAATTTCATTCTAGARGAATCTTGCCCTAAGTATTTAATAGTTAGGATAATTGCTATTGAAATATAGTGTTCTATGTGGTACTTACTTCTATGATGTGCTTAGGCAGCTGATGATGTTTAGTTTTAGACCTTCCTGGTTTTGTTTGATTCTGTAATTTGCTGACTGGTATAACAATGTTAATGTACTTTGACTAATATTTTGCTTATAAGGCTAGATATTAAATTCAGTATGTCAATGTTCTTGTCAGAGATTCGTCAGAGGACTGCAGCTCAAAGAAATGCTTCTACACCCTCATCTGCGACACCTAAACAAGGTTCTCCAAAGTCCCCAGTTCCAGCATCTCCTGCTCTGCAGAGAGAGACACCAGCTCCGAGTGGGCTCCTGGAAAGAACTGCTGTGCCATCCTTGCAATCAAACGTTTTACCAAGGCGCCCTGGATCCCCTGCTACTTCAGTGCCTGGAATGGGTAAACACAGCACTTAATGTTATTTACAGTTTATATTGTTTTCTCTGGTTGCCAATAAAATARGCCATTTTCAGACAGTATGGAAATGGCATTTCATTTGGAAATAGCAGRGCAGTTATCTGATTAAGCAGGAGTTCCATATTCAATTAGCCATAACTCTTTACAGCTGGCACCTTTTGATGCTGAAACCTATTGCCTGAGCTCATTTAACTGTTACGGCTTCTTTGTTTAAATGGCAATAAAACTTTGCAGTATTCTGTAGTCAACAATATAGCATACCTTTTTATGTTCTTAGTTTAGAAGAGCTCTATGCTTGTATAAATCAGGTACAGAGGAGAACACTTTCAGAATACATTCATGTTTCTCACTAAATCCTGTGCATATTTTTTTTAACATGCATCTTGACATTTATTTAAATTTTAGTCTAGAAGGTATAGTCATGCAGCCTATACTCATAGATTAAAGTGTGGAATACCAAATATGACAGAAAAGTTGTCTGTCGTAGCTGAATACTAAAATTGCATTGTTATTTTGGTACAAGAGTTCAAAGTTTAGCAACAGGTTGAAAGCTGGTAGGAATGAGTACTCCTTAAAATTTCTCATATCCTGAAAATGTTTTTCCCCTGATTTCTTATCTGGTGTTCAGATGGGATGTACTTTTAATAAATGGAATGCGAACTAAATTGCATTGGAAGGATCACAAAATTTGAGAGTTTTGTGTAGGAAGCATCGCTCTCATTTTCCTCATGGATGGTAAAGCTGTGWATGGGTTTGTGCTAGGCCTTTCATTTTTTGTGAGATGTTTGAGAAGTTGGATCACAAGGCAAGAAAAGAGATGAAATGCTGTCTTGAAAATAGAAGGGGTATAACTTGCCAAGAATCTCATGAGCACCAGTATAATGTGGAGTAGTTCTTTGCTCTATATATAGGGATCAAGAATACTGTTTTCTGCCCTGTGTTCCTGATTTTTACTTGAAGCTGCTTAAGTCTTATGACCTGTATGTCCTTCCTTACTAACTTCCACGATAGAATTAAAAAGTAGAGCTGTACATATTATATTGACACCTGCTCTCTAAGATCTCAGGAAGCTGGATGTTAAGATGCCTTGTCCTGTTGTTTATAGGACACAAATAGTGTAGTGGAATAAACTTGTCATGGAAAGTTGTCATCTCACTTCTCTGTGGAGTCCATTAAGCCTTATTTGTTGTTAGTAATTCTTTACCTGTATTATGAAACTGTTRTTTGTTTTTATCCCTGAAATGAACTGTAAAGGCAAGTTATTAGTAAGTCTTGATTATTTTGAAGTACCAGAAATTGGCTCCTTGTACCAGGAAATTGGTCATTTGGTTGCAAACCACATTTACTGATAGCTGATTACCAAAAATTCCATAATGAGTTTAAAATTGCATGCTCCTTCTTAAGGAAGCTGACTGTATAATAAAATATCAGCTGTATAATAGCTTTAGTCTTAGGGGAAGGTTCAGGCACATTGAATAAGCTAGATGAAATTCAACCTTTACTGCATAAATAGTTTAGAGGAAGAAGGAAAATAAAGTAACTGACTTGTTTGAAAGGACAGTTGTGAAGTTGTGATTTAAAATATTTAATGTAGTTTTYGTGGCAATGCCTTACAGGCACTTTTTTCCCCACTAGTAACTGGTATTTTGACCAAACACATTACTTTGCCATAGATAACAATGGGAGCCATTGCAATTGTCAGTTAATATGGCAGCCCTCTTTTTTCTTGAATTTCCCCAAACCTTCCAGGCATATAAAATCTCAGTCACGTTGTTGTGGTCAAAAGTGYGTAAATTCAGTATCTATAAGAATAATATTGCCTCTAAGTTCATGCATGTCTTACAACAAATATGAATAACCTTTATTGTTTTATTTTACAGAAGATTAATAATTCATTTTCATTATACTATATTTTGTAGGGGAGAATCAATTTAGCGTTTTACCACAGAGCTCCCATATGTTTGAAAATTAATAACCGGCAGGTAGTTGAGAGTTTGCCAAGGTTTGCAAAAATGACCGGTCTTTCTACAATGATTGCTTTTGATGTTTATATTAATTACTGGTGTCCATAACAGCATGAGAACAAAGACGGTTGGTTTGAGTTATTAGTAGGCAGGTAATTGAAGTTGTTGTTGGAATGTGTTGTGATGTTTCATTCTAGGTAACTTCATTCAAGGTTTACCTTATTTATTGACTTATGGAAACTTCATATATTGGTGATTTGCAAGTCATAKGAAAACTTGGTCTTTTGAATAAAGGTTCAAATAAACATTTGAGTGTAAACCAGGTATTCACAAAATTATTCTAGAGCTTTAATTTTATTGCAGATTGTATCAGTGCCTTTTTTTTGATGGAAGTATTGGATCTTTGAAGTTTTTGAGAAGCTTTAGGAAATGAATTTTGCCTGATGTGTACTTTGGACAGCTTTAGCAGAATCCAGTTTATATTGCACTGAATTTGTTCTGTCTTGCTTCTGTGAGAGTTTTCCTGGTCTGGGTTCCTGCTTGAGGATAAAATACGGGGATAACTTGGAAATGCATTCACTGATTGTTATTTCCTGAATTAATTTCTCTTATTTGTGAAAACGAGGCCTGCTTAAAAAACCTTTGTGTTGAGTATGAAACTGTTTTCATACTTACTGATGGGCTGTAAATTGCAGTATTTTCTGAATTAATTTTCTTGTGCTCTTAATTAAGACAGTCCATTTATGTCAAATATTCAATACTGACAAAATGTGTCTTGATAGACTGTGCTGTTACAAGTACTGCACACTTATTGGCAAGATTAGTCTTGTTCTATGTGTGGCACTACAAGAGGACACTACTGAAAATACTTGATTCCTACAGTGTGTGGCATTTTCTGTAGAGGATGGAGGTTAGCTGTGTGTGGCATTGAGCTTGAGCCTTAGTTACTTTTTCCTTTGTTGCTTCTATCTGTGAAGATTAAAGGTAGGAGGCTTGAAATGGTAATTTGCTGGCAGTTACTTTTAATGCTATATTTAAACTTGAAGCCCGTGTTGGATCAGGTTATTGAATAGTAAGACTTGCTGTGCTGTCTTTGCCTTCTGGTCTGGAGGTGAAGATTTATGAAGAGTGGCTGAGATCTCATGATTYGTTCAGCCTGAARAGGACACTGAGGAAAGACCTTGCTGTGCTCTTCAACATCCTGATGAGGGGAAGCAGAGGGACAGACRTTAATCTCTTCACTCTGGTGACCAGTGACAGGACTAAGGGAATGGCACAAAGCTGAGTYGGGAAGGTTTAGGTTGKGTGTCAGGGAAAGGTTTTTCATCCAGAGCACTGGCATGGGCTCCCCAGGGAAGTGGTCCCAGCWCCAACCCTGGCAGAGTTTGGTGTTTGGACAGCRCTCTAAGGCACATGGAGTRATTTTTGGGGTGTCTTGTACAGGGACAGGAGTTGGGACTAGATGATCCTGATGGGTCCCCTCCAACTTGTATTCTATGATTACTCTACTTAAGGAGGTACTTAGTGCTTCTTGTGTGTTTATCAAAGTTCTGGAAGCTATGACTGTGCATGTCCYGATGCTGTGCCTGAGTTGCTGTAAAAAAAACTAAATCTGAACAATCCTGAAAAGCTTGAAGTCAACTTGAAGCTTGAAGTTCTTAACACARTATCTTTCAATTAAATGTCATTCTGAATTAGTTCAACATACTAACAAACTTTACTCTGTTAGTTGTCCTTTGTTTGGATTTTAAAAAATATCCTGTTTTGCATTTTTAGACAGTGGGTGTAATGTTTTACTGTTTTGTGTATTGAGACACTGATTTTAGTTTGTTTTAACCTTTAGCTTCCTCTTTGTTTRTTGGTCATTATGGGGGATTCTGTGAAACATACAATCTCACGAAAAACACTAGAAGCATACACAAATTGAAAAGAGAATTATAGGCTGGCTTCTCTGGTCACTAAAGGCCTTTCTTTTAAGCCATGCTATTTCTATATTTGTTTTTATTGTCTATAGTGAAAATAGCAACAAGCCAGAACTCTTCTCAGAGAAAGCACTGGTCTCTTTCTGCACCGGCAGTATTTAATTTCTGTGAATTAGATATACCTGGTTCTTGCAGGACTTCAGATTGCTTTATGCTCATGTCAGTACGAAACCTGCTAATAGTAGCTGATTYGTTTTCTGTTTAGCCTTCTTAGCTATCGTGAGCTTGTATGGGACTTTTGCATTTTTACAAGTAGTTCTGTTATTAGGTTAAACCAAGTCATATATCACAATTTGTCTTGAAGTGGCTTGAAGCTGACTATTTTGCCTCAGTTTGAGAGTTCTGAAAGACTGGTTCATTGTCCTACTCAAACACTGATTATTTTGTTTGTTTTTTGGACTTTGAATGTAATTCGTAGAGCTCTTACGGGAATAGATTTTAAGTCTTCCCCTCTCTTCCCCCAAATGCTGCCTTATCTTACATTCAGGACTGTTAGTTGAAAGTGCTGTAACGGAATACTTCCTGTGCTGAAATGTAAAATGTTTCCTCTCCATACTTAGTTATTTGAATCGCTGCATCAGAATGATTCAGACTTGAGTTTCTTATATTAGGCCTGGCTTACTCTGTCTTACATGTTAGGCCTAGCTTATTCTGTTTAATGCTGCAAGAGAAAGTAGACATAAGAACTCAAAGCTGTATAAATGGAAATTGGTAGYTTCCAGTGGTCTTATACAATGGACTGTGGAAAGAGAAGTTTTCTTTTCTTTTGTGGAAAGAGAAGTTTCTGCCTATGTTCTACTTTAACTGCAGCTGTATGTAGAATTGAAAAAGGTAGCAGTCTTACCTGTTCGTAAAGGAGTTTCATTTTGATAGTAGTTTGTTAAATACATGGGGCGAATAGTGTTTTTATAGTGGCATTCTGGCTTCTTTGACTAAGCATAARTCTGAAAGTATCCAACTTCTTGTTAAATGTGGGATTACCTAAAGGACAAACAGCTGGACAGGTTTAATGTGTAGACTGAATGCACATTGAGGGCATGCTCTTGTGGTATAGTAATTACACAGAAACCAGGGAGTGTATCTAGGGGGTGTATCTATGGTAACATCTTTGTAAAAACATAGAATGGTTTGTATTTTAAGGGACCTGAAAGATAATCTATTTGAAACCCCCATGCCATGGACAGGGACACCTCGCAGCAGACCAGGTTGCCCTGATCTTTAGTTCTTCTATTGCTGTCATTGGTTTTGCCAGATTCGTTGGTGTAAATTGGAAGTGTAAATTTGCAGAATTGCATATGGAGAAAACTTAGTTGAGTTGTTCTTCCTTAAAGAGCCTCTATTTGCTAATAATCATTGGTACTGTTGCTACATTAAGTTCTTTAGAAATTATAAATTTACTTACATGTCCAAGGTGTAAAAATGGAATGATTAAATAAAATTATAAGTTAGGGGAGAAGAAGAGGAATTTTCARCTGCTGTGGGTTGAAAAATCTTACAGCTTTCTTAGGGGACTAAGAAATATGGCCATGTATATTAAGTGGACGCAATTATTTTGTTACAATAGCACACAGAGTAAAATATATAATATAGTAGAATATACATAATATACATAATAATATACATAATATACATAATAATATAGTAGAAAATAATTTTAATACAATTCATGTCTTCTAGGTCTTCATCCTCCAGGCCCTCCTTTGGCAAGACCTGTTCTTCCTCGAGAAAGAGGAGTTGTGGATAGAGTTATTGAGTATTTGGTTGGTGATGGTCCTCAAAACAGGTAAAATGTTCTTTAAGAAATACCAAAACACTTAGGGGAAAGGAAGCTTCTTAACCTTTTTGTTCAAGCCAGACATGCCAAGGTTAATAGAATTGCTAATGAACTTGTCCAAAATTTTCATAATTGGGAAATGGCTCTTTCTCAATACTTCACTTAAAATATCTTTGCAGGGAAACTGGTAATATTTGGCAAAGCTAACCTCTGTTCTGGGTGGTATTAGCCATGTGATACAAAGAAAAATCTGTGCTCAARTGGGAAAATGACTTATATTTTGAACTTAAAAAAAATAAATTGATTACCTCAGCATTTCAGCTTTATATCCTTTATGAATGCCTTTCAGATTGCCTTCAGAACTGTCCAGACATATCAAAATGTAACATATTAACTATGGCTGCTTTTCATATTAACTGTATTCTAATGAAATAAAAACTGAACTTGGATGTTATTTTCTGACATTTATAATACTAAAAATATGTTGAACCATGAGGTTTAAAGTGTAGCTAAGAGTATTTCACTGTGGTTTAAACAATTTCAAAAAGCATTATTTAATCTACAGATTTAGGTTGCTTTAAAGGTAATARTTTCACTGTGGAAATCACCTTTTAGAAGAAAAGATCTAAGGTATTGGTCAATATGCAAGGTAAAATACATCTTCCTTCAGTGTGTTTTTACTTAAAGAAATGTAATTATGTATTGTTCATTTTTCTAGGTATGCCCTAATATGTCAGCAATGTTTTTCTCACAATGGTATGGCTTTGAAGGAGGAGTTTGAATACATAGGTAAGAGCTAATCTTTTTTAGACTCTATTACCTGGYTTATGTTTTGTAACTAACACGCATTATGCTTCATTTTGGTTGCATCCAAGTACTTAGCTGACATTGTGAAGTACCACTTCATGTGGGAACATCATTTTGGTAACTTATTACGCTGTATCTTAAGATTTGCTTCAAGACTCAGAGAAGTACTTTATTACGACCTTCAGGTCATGGATTTTATGTATAGAAAACTATTCAGTAGAAATAAGCTTTCTGCAATACATCCCTGAACATTGCTACTGGCTATGAATAGTTCTCAGAAGGGTTTTATGTTAAGAAACTCTCTGACATTAAAGTGTGTCTCTTTTACCAGAGCTTAAACTAAATTTTCCTTTGGCAAGAAGATCCTGGGGACGTATTGGAAAAAGAGTGGGAACAAGCCCTAGGGGCCTATACGTGAATTTATGGCTGACAATAACTTAAGACAGACACAGCTCTTTATTGAACACAGATGTTATGTTTTGCCTGCTTTCTACCATAATCTAAGCCTAATGCTTAAGAAACTAAGGATTCTTAGATAAATCTTCTATTTAATTTTGTTTTGTTTCSTGTTGTAAGTAAATGTACCGCGCTATAAGAATAAGCTAAATGTTTCCTATGAAATCAAAGATATATAGTCTCTATGTCATTTTAGTTCATATGAGTTCACARCTCAACTGTACCAGAAATTGCCACTTCCCCCCTTGTCTTGGTGAGGGGGGGTAGGACAAAATTAGTTAAAGTATTAAATGGTATCCAATACTTTTGCAAAACAAAACTGTGTTTTCTTAATTATGAGCCAGTGGAGCAGAATGCTCTTCAAAAAGCAGATGAGATGAAGCTTGTGGAATTCCTAACATCTTCTTACTCAGAGTGTGAGGAAAGTGGCATCTTAAGGGGAGGGAAAAAAAAATCAYCTGCCAACTTAATTCTTTTGTAGGAAAGAATAGAACAACACCATGTAGCACCATCTGGTGTACTGAACTGCATTATTTTGTTCATTGTGATGAGAACTTTCACAGTGTTGGGCAGTACTCAGTACAGTAGAGCTGAAAGCAAACAGGTTTGTAAAAAGCAAATGTCTGCTGAATTYAAAAAGGGCCTTTATARAACARCTTATGTAAATTTGGTGGGGGTACTCTGCGGTAMTGATAGTAACTTAGTTTAACCCTCTGTTTTTAGTATTTTGGACTTTCAGAAAATATTTGGGAATAAAGAAGAAATGTGAAGTTAGTTAGTGAGGCTACTTACTGTGTGTGCTTTGTGTAGCATTTAGGTGTGCCTACTGCTTCTTCCTGAATCCTGCAAGAAAAACTAGACCTCAAGCTCCGCGACTTCCAGATTTCAGTTTTGAAAAAAGGCAGTCTACAGAATTGCGATCTGAACCTCTAGAACCTAGAGAGAGAAAGCCCCAGGAGACTCAACAGACTAAAGGTTTGTACTAATCTCATGAATTCTGCTCTTTTTAAAATGTCTAATGAAATTCCCCATCATCTAGCTCTCTGCTGAGCTGAGTTTTCTTATAAGAATGACAACAGCTGAAGTATTTAAACACTGCTTAAACAGGGTTCTTGGCAAGAACCAAAGTCTGTCAGTGTTTGAGGCATTTGGAAAATGCCCTTAACATGCTTTAGCTTTTGATCAACCCCCTTGGTTAGGAAGTTGGTCTAGATGATTGTTTTTGTTTAATTCCTACTGAAATAGTATAGTTTATTCTGACTTCATAGTAAGTGCAGTTTATGTAATTTTTTTCAGTTCTTACCTCTGCCCTAACTTAGATTGTTGATAATAGTGTCTTCTTTCTGGTTCATTAGAATTTCTTCATATTAGTCTTCATCTTGTGCAAATGGTGGCATAACAATTTTTTTTACGCTGTTACTGACAAACAGATAAAAAGAAGCACTGTAAATTACAGAAATAGTTAAGGAGGGAGTATGTCACAAAGTAATTAAGTTTCACTGTGTTTGGCAGGTCATTTGGTTGAGGTGTGTTGGAATTTCTGCCTTTGTTCCGTTTGCTCTTTTCCTCAGGGCAGGAAAATCTAGTAAAACTGCCTTGTTTAAWTTCAGGTAGTTCAAAGACAAATTGTCAATTTTAATTTAAATGTGGTTCCTTTGGAGACATTTTATAGTCTGCAGATACAGTAGGCATCTGGTGTACAGCCAACAGGAAGATGYAGTGTTTTAAAAGACTCCAGAAATCATAATTTCAAACCAAAGGATYTCCAGTTAGATGTGTTGTTGAGTGCTTGATGAGACTTTACATTACTTTAAGCGGGGATCCTGGGGGAAAGCTGTTGGATATTGTGCAGCCCTGAGGCTTGGGCTAGAAACACACCAACTGTGGGAAACTGTCAAGAGTGTAAGAGAATGCTTCTGCTTGATTATTTTTATCAGGGAGTACAAAATGACATCRGGCTTTGCTTTCTGGTGTGAGAAGGCTGCACAAAACCAGTAGGGGAGTCTTATCTAAAGGTGGCTGTCTGGGTGTGGCCTCTTCAGGGTGCATTGTAGTGAAAACTTGGTTGGTTTCTTTTAAGTGTGCTCTTAACTCAATAAAAGTTCTATTACTGGCATGAAAGTAAGAATGAAATCAAATAGATGAAACTTATGTAAAGTATCTTGTTTGCCCTTAAATCACAGAATCATCTTTTTAGTGAGTGGAGGGTWGGTTAGTAGCTTCTTGGCTACTTTTGAACTTACAAAATTCTTAACAGAAAAAGACATATTTTGTTACTGGGATCTTTACAAGTGTGCTTGTTTTTATCTGTCTGACTCAAGTAAAGAGGTCCTTAAAGGATAGTCAGCTCTTGGAAGCATATGCCTCAAGGACTTCTGAATATAATCCACTACTGCAGGTTTTTAGAGAGCGGTAGGGAGAGGTGTTTGCTAATTAATCTCGTATTATTGAAACAATCTGGTATTATTATCAAACTATGTCTATAATGGGTAATGTAAATGTAAAACTTGAAGAATTAGTGTGAGATTGCCTGTTAAGCACTTCAGATGCAGGAGTGAAAATTGTGAGAACTTGCTTTTATTGGAAGCAGAATTTTATCAAACATTTCAGCAGAAAAATAGGATGGGTTTATTGCCGTAAATGTGATTTTACCTATTTACCTTTAATAATGAAAATTAYGTTCTTTTTTCTGATGTGGTTTTGTATTAATGTGCTGCTTTATTTAAAAACAGCAGGAAAAGAAACAGCTGTGAACTTGATTGCCTGGTTCTCTTCTCCTGATAGGAAATACATGGTGGAAGTTTTCAGAAGAAGCGTAAGAAATTAATGGTATACAGACTTCTAGGTTAAATAGCTGATCTTTTCTGAATATTTAATCTCCAAGATGATACAAACAATTTTATTTTGATAATTGCTAAGCAGCCAGAAATAGAGTATGCCTTAGTATTTTACATAACTAGTATCTGAGAAATGTCTTACTGATGTAGAGGAGGCCAGTGCCTGCCTATAACTTGCCACAAAGGAATCTCTTCTGAATGAGAAAATATTTTCAGTAAAACACTTTTTCCATCAGAACTGTTATATATAACCTAACTGCTTGCATGCAGTTGGGTTTTATTAGTAAGTAAACATATTCCTTGATTATAAGTTTAAGGTATGAAGCTATCATTGAGGTAGAGCTCTGGGGAAGGCTTTTGTTCACCACAGTAAAATAGCTGCTGTCCTAGCAAAATAGAGTATATCTTCACTTACAGATGTAGACAAACATTAACATCAGGTAACCAACTCCACCACAATGTTGATAACACAGGGGAGTACAATTCTTTATCTGTAATTCATTTAAACCATAGCTGTATAGCTCAAAGAAAAAGCAAAATAATCTGATACAGAAATGCTATAAATATTTTTTACCACTCAGCTACTTTCACTAATGAGTAGAGCATGAAGCTGAATCATTTTTTCAGTTGTGTGTTTACATAGTGACAAGCATGCTACATGTAACTCTTGTGGATGAGAGATTGGAAAAATGCTGATGGGGAGTGCTGTTGGCACTGAACTTTGGAATTTTTTTTTAAATCTCTGGAAATATGGAGTCATCAGCTGTCAATCTGGTGCAGAGTACTGGTACAAACACCATGTTTCCTTCTTCAGCAGATTAATTTAAGAAGTTTTAGTACCAGAGTGAAGCAATACACATCAGCTCTTTTCTTACCTTTTCCATAAATGGCTTGATTTTGATTCTCCCCRCCAATCAAAGGCTAGTTGGTTCTCTTACGTACTTTTCTTACATGTATTAATGTTTGGATCATACTGAAAGAGCCAACAGGAACCACATTTAGCCTCTTGATTAATTTTGCCTTGCCTTTGTTTAGTACTGTTGTGCTGTATTCTTCATTCAGGTTTAGCATTTAGCAGTATTTTGAAGCAATGGAAAAAAAATTGACTGCTTTAGTGTTTTGTGTTGAATGTCTGGTGCTGATTTTCAGAGGTTTTCATTGGATATCTTTGAACTTCAGACTTCACCACAGTGGTCAGCACGTCATTGACTGCTTTATATGATGTGTCTCTATTCATATGGAATTCCGTGACCATCTTACTCAAATATTTTTATGATGATTTAATACTCTGTCACTTGTAAGGATTCCTGGAATACAACGACTTTTGATATTTGAAAGGGCTTCCATTATAAAGGCAGGTGCAGAAACTTGACTTGTTGTTCAACTGAAGAGTTCTCAGTAATGATCTCTACCAGAAATAATGCCATTTCAAGTTTCTGCTCACTCTGAGTTCTACCACAAGTGGAGCTTGGCTTTGGGCAAGTGTTACAGATAAAGCAGAAACTTTTTTCTAGAAATAAAACTGATGGAAGACAAAGGACTAAGAAATAAGGTTGACTGTTCTGATCAGAATTATCTGAGTTAAGTGTTGTTTTTTTTAAAAAAATAAAGACCTCCCACCTGGATTGGAGGCATTTTCTGTTTCAGAAATCTGGCTTGCTTTTTTAACAAATATGCGTTACTTTCATGGGACAGCATGAACTCGCTATATTTTAGCGAGGCCATTGTTTCTTTTCAAATACATGAGTTTCTGCATGTTGTGCTCTTCACCAAGTTCAACTGTCTAGAACTCAGTGATTTCTGAAGCAGACATAGGTCAGCTCACCTTGATTTTAATAAGTTGTAAACAAGTTCTTTTGATTTAAAAATGTATTATGTTTCCAGTCAACCACAGTGCAGTTTTGCTGAACAACATAAGTTGCCCTTTTGTTGGGATGTAAAGGGTAGAGGGAATGCCATGGGATTATCTGACTATTTTCAAAGGCTTCAAAATAGCTTTCTGTGATAAAAAAAGCCATTAACAGATTGCTATGAGACACRTGTTTTTCGTGAAAATCTGTCTTAAAGGGGAACTGTGGTAGTGAAGAAAACTTGTCCCAAAGGTTTTGAAAGCACAAACAGCTATATTTTAGAGCAATTACACCGTTTTTGTGAATTCCCACATAAAAGACATTTTCTACTTAATAGTGATGCAGTATTGTGTTTTCACTGGTTACTCAGTGAAATCCTCCCTGCAACAAGAGGAGGAATGACTGAATGTGAGGTACATATGCTTTCTAAGTACTGAGCATTAACCGGGAGTGTTGGGGGGAAAAATGCTGTAGCCAGGAGCAGGTTTTTTTAAGGTTGCATTGTTGCAGCTCTTAAATATGCCCCAAGCATTGGGCTGTGCTTGCTCTTAAGATCATGTGGGTTAAGGTACGTTCTTTGGTTAAATCATGGTTTAAATATTATTCATCAAGGACACTTAAATTTTGTCATCTTTTTAAGTTTATAGTTGGAGGTTTCACTTGTTAGCTGCTGCTCTTACAATGACTTTTAATGCAGTATTGAAATCAGGTTGACTTTAAGCAAACTTTCCGTTAATTGCTGTGTTTAAAGTGGAATCACTATATATTTTTAATGAAGGCTGATCATGTTTATGGTTGGAGTTAACATCACTTAGTCTGATTGCCCTGACTACTCCTTTAAAGGACCTACTCTTTTTTTTAGTTTCTTGTTACTTTGTCASACTTAATTGCAAGACCAAAATTTTCTATGTTAATATACATTTCTGTATATTCTGGAGAGTTTCAAGAAATTCAGTAAGCTTAATCAAAAACAGAGTGAAGGGAAAAGTAATTTAATACCTAATAATTTTTGCTTAAATAAGCAGTGTCTTCATACCTTTTAGTAGAATAAAAATGAAAGCACCATCCTGTTCCTTTGAATGTAGTTAGAATATGCATTTCATGAGGTTTTCTCCTTTTCATTGAAGAGTTCTGCTGGTGGCTGTGATTGTCCCTGGGGTGTACATCAAAGATGTTGTAGATGCTTGTCATCCTTCTGATCAGATGGAGCAARTAGTCTCTTTACCTGTCAGACTAAGAAGGACTCACTTCTGCAGAATGCTAAGCATTATTCAGTGGAGGACTGCAGGACTGAAACTCTGTAAATAGGTGATGGTTGGGCTGTACTACAAATAAGTTGAGGGGGCATGGAGCTGCCTCTTCCTTGCATTCCATACCTTCTTGACTCTAGCCTGAAGAGTAGCAATAAAGGAGTGTAACTCAAACGTGGCGGGATTGGAGCATGARAATGCACAAACTTATTCATAGAATTTGAGGCTGAAGAAAAAATGCAGAGATAGAAATGCAGAGGCAGAAAGAAAACTGACAGTTGGGAGATAAAGATTGAACACAGACAGAGATGGGATCAAGATAAAAATTGAAGAGCAGGAAGAGAGAGTGGGATGGCCTGGAAAGTATCTGGGAACATTAACTTGCTTGGGCAGAAATAGGGGAGTTGAAAAGTTTTGGAACAAGAAGCCAGGGCAGGTGTTAAGCAGCCTGTTGTTGAGAAAGCAGGGAAGGAAGCTGAATCAGGGAATGAGTCAGCTGCAAACTTGCTAAAATGAAAGATCAAATCTGATAAAAAAATGGAGAAGCTGGGGGCTGCTCTGAGAAGTCTGAAATGAAACCTGTAGCTAGCTAGGGGGAGCTTTGTGTGGGAAGAGGGGTCTTAAATTCTTGGTGACACATGGCATTTGTACAAGGTCTGCTGGGCAAGGGTGTGCAGCAGCTCCTCTAGTCAGTCATGGGCCAAGAAGTCAGAGCAATGGTTCTAAAACTTTCAGCTCTGCTTGAATTCCATGTAACCTGAAGCAGTCTGATTACTTTCAGATACCCAACGTGTTTCAGTCGAACAGGAACACATGGCCYTTGACTGACACCATTCAGGGGCTGGTATTGGGACCAGTAATGCTTGGTATCTTTGTCAGGAGCATGGACAGAGGGATTGAGTGCACCTTCAGCTGGTTTGCTGATGACACGGAGCTGTGTGTTGCAGGGGACACTGGAGGGAAGGGATTCCATCCAGAGGGGCCTTAAGAGGCTTGAGAGGTGGGAATGTGAACCTTATAAGTTTAGCAAGGCCAAGTCCAAGGTCCTGCATTTGATCAGGGAATTCCAAGCCCAAGTAYAGGCAGAGCAGAGAGTGAATTGAGAGCAGCCATGAGGAGAGGGATGTGGGGATATTGGTTGGCAGAATTTCAACATGATCTGGCAATGTGTGCAGGCAGCCCAGAAAGCCAACCATGTCCTGGGTTGAATCAAGAGCATTGAGGCCAGCAGGGCAAGGGAGATGATTCTCCCCACCCCTACTTTGCTCTTGTGAGACCCCACCTGGAGAACTGTGTCGAGCTTTGGGTCCTGACGTGGTTTCAGCTGTGATAGAGTTGATTTTTTTCTTAGTAGCTGGTACTCTACTTTGTTTTGAATTTAATACAAGAATGACATTGATAACACATGAATGCTTCAGTTATTGCTAAGTAGTGCTTATTTTAAGTCAAGGACTTCTTAGTATCTCATGCTTTGCCAGCCTGAGGTGCTCAAGGAGCTGGGGGTGCATGCTAGGATAGGTCAAAGGGATATTCCATCCCATAGGTTGTCAAGGACTGTGTATAAACTGGGGGAGTTGGATGTGAGGGACTGAACACTGCTGGGGGATAGGCTGGGCCTTGGTCAGCAGATGGGGAGCCATTGTGTTTGGCATCATTTGTGTTCAGTTTTTTTCCTTTCTCTTCCCCCTTCCCCCCTGCTTAGACACAGGTATTTTTGTTGTACTTGTTAGTATTTTAATTTGTTGAAATATTAAGCTGTTCAAATTTTAACTCAGGGGTTTAATATTTTTGTGATTCACCTCCCCGTCCCACCAGGATGGCAGGAGGGTGGACAGGGGGTAAGCAAGTGTCTGATCTGCAACCCACTTGCAGGCTGGGTTAAACTAGAACAGTCCCCTGACATGAGAAGGACATTCTTCTTTTGGAGCAAGTCTGGAGGAGGGCCACAAACATGTTGAGAGGGCTGGAGCACCTGTCCTGTGATGACAAGCTGGGGCTGTACTGCCTRGAGAAGAGAAGGCTTTGGGGAGACCACAGAACAGCCTTCCAGGATCTAAAGGGGCCTCARGTTTTAACTGTGACTGTCTTAGAAAAGTCAAATAGTTTTTACGAGTTGAGAATGTCATGCAGTTACTAGTCAAAACTTGTATGTGATTACAGCATGTTTCATTTGGTTTTCAACCGTATTAGCTTCCTCTTAATTKCTGGAAATAGCTATTTTGTCCTTTTTCTTTTCACAGAATCTGAAGAAGATGTGGCCCAGATTGTTGAGACAAATGAGACAGACGATAAAGCACCAAATTCTGAGCATCTAAATGATAAGATAGCTGAAGAAGTTGAAAAAGAAGAAGCAGAAAATGTTTCAACAACTGAAGAGACTATTTCAGAGTCTACTTCAGCTGAACAAAGTGAAGAATCTTTAATAAAAGCAGAATAAAGTACTTCAAGTGCCTTCTGTAGCTAGTTTTTAGCTTTGTTCATGCCTGTTGTTACTATTCAGGTGAGCTTTTTTTTTAATGGTACAACTTAAAAATCTTGCTTGGGCTTAAACTGCCTCAACTGCCAGAGTGTGTCAAAGCTACATGTAAAAGTGGGTATTGTAAATTAAGCATGTGTCTTCAAGTTAACACATAGGATGTGTATTTGGTTGAAGTCTAACAGCTGTAGCCCTTGTTTAGTTTGTGTATTTAAAACTTCAAAGTACAAGCTTTGCTAAGGCTGACTTACAATTTGACATCTCTTTAGCTGTCACATAAGAGGAGCATTTACTGATGGCAACTGACCTAGTAAGTTTAGCATAGTGAACTTAAGGTAACTTTTTAATGCTGCCCTGTTAAAATTGAGAACATGTTTAATACACAGATGTTTACAAGCTAAAGTGTCATTGGACATTTGACTTAAACATATGGAAGTGTCATTGCAGTRGTGTTAATATTATTCATTGTCTAACTTTTGACAGATTTCAGTTAAATGGCACTTGGATAAATGGCATCTCCTTTGGTGTTTGCATTGCAGATGAACCAGAGGCACCTACATGCAAAACTGTTTTGTGTTTACATAAAATATAGAGAGTCTCTGCACTTGATTGTACTTGAATACAAAGCACTATTTATACCTGTACAATAATAACAAGATATAAGTGAATTTTGTGCCTTTGTGTATTTTGTAAAAGGAAAATAAAGACATCTAGCAGCAATACTTGCTTTGTGATTCCTAAAACTGAAGAGAATTTATGTTCTGCTGTGTGCAGCTATTCCAGAGTTACATCATGCAAGTTCAGAAGGAATGTGCCCCTTAAAAGGAGCATGTCTATATGTAGCTAAGGTGGCTTTGATAGGAGTAGATCCCTGATGAAAGGGGAAGTGCATGTGCATTTGCCAAAAGGCTTTTCTAACTGTACCTAAAGCTTGTTGATACTACTTAATGTTACAATTGCAATGAATATTTGCTGCTGGATTASTGAAAATGTAATTTTTTTTCATTGCATTGCTTCTTAAGCTAAGGACACTTGTTACACATTTCGTGTTAAATATAACAGCTGSGATCTTGGATTACAAGTTTTCTGGTGTCTGGGAAGTATCAAAGTCAATAATTTTTTTTTTTTTTTTAGAAATAAATGCTGACCATATGTAACTTGGTTGATTTAGTAATACTTCTGATAAAAGTTTTGGTTTTTTCTGTGTTGTGTTCCTCACTTCAGGGAGAGGGGAAATTTCAAAACCATTTTTATTCTGTTGTCTTGGTTGCAAAGGGAAATAGTTTTTACACTATAAAGCAAACAAAACCCCTAAATCTTAGTAGCTTAAGAGTCATCTACAAGAAAAGCGTGTTTCTAAATGTGGCTGACCTTAATAGCCATGTCTATATATGCAAGACATAGTTATTACATGAACAGCAAAGATTAATTTTCTTTTTCAAATACTTGCTTTGTTTTCTGTTTCTTTGGGGATAGTTTAGAAGCTCGGCCTTGCATCAATCAGAATCAGGTTTGGTCTGTATGTAGATTAAGGAGGAATTATTTTTCTAAATCACAGTTCATATTTCAATTAGTCTTAATAGACAATATAGGCATGTGATTATGTGAGTACTCGTGTTTGTCTATTCTTACCTAAAAAATTAGCAAATAAGCTTTTTGTGTGTGACTATATTAATTGGGAATACAAAGAAAACAATCCCTTTTCCAAACATGTTTTAGAGAAAAGTACAGGGTACAAAGTGATAGGGGAATTAAAAAAAATTAGTATTAATTTTTTAATACTTTTAGAGAATGTATTTTAGATAATGGAGCTTAAAATGGAAATCATTTTGCCTAAAAGGTGGCAAAACTTACTTATTATTTTGTAAGTTGTTAATCTATACACTGCATTTTGTACCTCACTGATTTATCTGCTTTAAGGCTTGTTTCTTTGGATAGAAAAAAATCACAGACCATTTGAGTAATTCAGCACAGTAAACTGTTGGATGTACTTGCATTATAAGTGCTAAAAACAAGTAAAATTTGTCATCCTGATCCCTTATATTGGATATGAAGGCATGAATTACTGTCACTTCAGTACTTAGGATTCCTTATAAAAATATGTATCTGAAGTGTCTGGTCTTTTGTAGAGTGATTTTAGGGTCTTTCCATGATAAGCAGGGGCTGAGCTGTAGTGCATGTAATATCTATAGAATTGACTGAGAAAACTTCTGACATTGGACCTRTATATTAAAAATGTTTTCATTAGCCTGGGACATTTGTATTATCTTTTGCCAAGGAAACTGATGCTTCTTAGGATTTTGGGAATATGAACTTTTTTTTTAAAAAGGAGACAGTATTTGGAATGGAGTGGGGTGTTATTTCTCCCAAGATTCTTAAATATGACATGAACAACTTTCCATAGAAATGATTGGTGCTTTTTGTTTAATATATCACTGAAGGATCAAGTAGAGACAGTCAACCTGATGTGAAAACAAATACTTTTTAGAATGTGAATACGTGCTTGTGACCTAAAAATACCTATAGCTTTTGAGCACAGGAACATTGTCTGTTTTAAGTGCATGACACAATTTTCCTGAAAGACTTTCATACTTAAAAGAAGCGTCCAAGCAGTCATTTCCATTAACTGCTTCAGAATGCTTGAAGATTAAGCATGTCTTAGAATTTTGGTAGAGAAAAATCTCTTTCAAACTTTTTGATTTTTTTGGGTTTTAAAGCAGCCCTAGTAAATCAGGTTACAGAGTTAATTCATCTCTGGGTGAATTCAGGCCCATGTTGATACATATGATGGTTATAGACTGAGCTTTTCTCAGTTTACAGTAAGCATTCACATGTTACTCCTGCCAAGTGTGGGTGCCCTAGTCCTGATATCAATATGAGAAGAGGATTCTGTTTCTGCAGCAGTTGCTCTTTCTTGGCTTCTGTGTACTGTGTGGCAAAAGTAAAAGACACCTGTCCAACAGGAATTGAATCCAAATCCAAAAATACCTGTAAATTAACAGCAGTAGCCACACTTGGTCATGTCTTTGTAACACCAAAAAGATCCTGGAAGCAGAAGTTTGTAGATAAAAGAAGTTCAGCAATTATCAGTCAAATTTAATCCAGTTGCAGTTTGACTCTTCAAGATGAGGAAATGGAAGAAAGTAGAGGGAAAAGAATAAAGAAATACTGTGGTTCCATGTTTTGTTGTCTTCTGACTTCTTGGCATGTACATGAATCTCAATTTTTTCAAAAGTTTACTGAGATTTCTCGCAGGACCAGGCTTCTAAGATGTCATAGGAGCCCCCTTTCTTTATGTGGCTGGGATGAAAAGCAAATTTGAGTGGGGCAGTAAAGTAATACTTAGCAAGCTTATTGGTGCTGTGTTTTTATTGACTCTGGAATACTATAAATAACTGCAGAGATCTCTCTTTATCAAACATGGTTTGTGAATTTGGGAGGAATTATCTGGGCTGTGTAAAAACTCTTGCCACAAAAGACAAATGTGCATTCTAGTTCAAAAGAAATTGAAATGAGGCGGTCAAATTTAAATTTAACTTATAAGTCAGCAGAACAGGGTTGAAAAAGGCAATGGTATTTCAAATTCTAATACTTGTTCTAAAGGAGAACACGATTGCCGTTGGACATTTTGGAAGAATTAAAATATTTAGTGAAATCTTGGTTTGATGATTTCTCAAGGAATCTATTTAGCCTCCATGCASGAAAAAGAAGCTCCCAAGGAATGGCAAAGATAATGCAGGAGCTGATGGTTTAGCAATGGCCTAGAGATTATCAAAAGCAGGTAACTAGGCATGTGCATGGTTACGTTGAAATCAAAAGATTGAACCCCATGTGGTGGATGAGTAGAATTGATAGAAGGACTTAAAAGAATGAGAGTGAAGCATTGCAGGGAGGGAAGGGGTAATGTTTTTTAGTTTTAGAACAAACTTTTAAGAGATATAGCTCTTTAAGCTCATCTTTTTTTTTTTCAGAAAATGCAGTAAAGTTTGGCTGTTATCACATAACAGTATRTAACTCAGATAAATATCATGTTCTTATGTCAGAAATAATAAGGATGCAATTGACAAATCATATTGGAGAAGTTTGCTTGCTTTTTAGAATTAATTCCAGAATAAACGTATGACAATCACTTGGTGGAAAAAAACTCACTAAATATTATGAAACRTTTATAACCATTTTAAAATTCAAAGGCTAGGAGGAACACTTCTTTGTTGGTATGTGGTTCTGAACTTAGCAGTGTTTGTGCACTTGTGGATTTGTGGTGCTGGAGGAGTGAGTAGTCTGGATAAAGCTTTCATTATTCAGTAGCTAGGTCTGCTGTTAAAAACATAAAAGGTCTTCATCTTCGTAAAGTCTAAACACATTCAGTACAAGAGTACTGGATGTAAARAAGGTTTTAAATAAGCTGCTTCTCTTCATTTATTCTGTTTCTAGAGTGAGGTTTTGTTAGGTCTTCTACAATGAGGAAGGCTGTTCATGGGTTAAGGACTCTCCTGTTGGCCAGTATTGAGCAATAACTAGCAATAACTAGGCAATAACCTTGACAATTCATTTTGTATCTTTGGCAAATAATCATTTGATCAGTTTACTGAGTGTTCTCAAGCAAAATCTTTAGGCCTTCTTACAGACTGTTTCTTGGTTTGGTTTGTTTTTTTTTCCCCAATATCTCTTGAGAGATATCTCTTTCCTGTCCAATCACATGATTAACAATTAGTGCTTCAGATCTCAGTATCCCACGTTTCAATTCCCTGCTAGAATTGGTAAATGCAGACCTGTGCAGATTTCTGGTGTAGTGAGCCTCTGAAGGAGACTGTACAGAAAACATATCCCTAATTTAAAAAAAGGCTGCAKATCCATCAAGGCATAAACATTACAAGGAAGGTTTTCCAGGAATGAAGACTGAAACTTTGAAAGTTCCTAATATTTTGGACAAAGAGGCTTGCAGGAGGCTTTAGATTTAAAATGAATTTGGAGACTGAGAGGGCAATGAAAGACTGTTCCATGATGAGTAGATTGTGTTTGATGGCATGTGCCTTCTYGTTATCTTAAGAATGTATTTAATGGCAGAATATGGGCGGCAGAGATTTTTGGCAGTTGTCAGRAAGTGTTGATTCACTGACAGGAAAATGTGTGTGAAATGATTACTGGTCTGTGGCAGTGCTCCTCTCTTCYGTGGTGTGGTCTTTAGGTGGAATTCCTACATCTCAGGTTTGGGGAAGGTGATGAAGGTGATGAATTACAGCTGATGGGGCTGACGTGTAGGGCTGTTGGGTCCAGGTTCTGGTGTATAGTAATGCATCAAAGTTTCTGTCCAAGAACAAACTGTAAATTTCTATCAGAAATGTGTCCTAGTTGAAATTTTCAGGTTATCTGAAATTCAGTGCATGCTTTGGATTCTGGGTGTTTGAAGGAAAAAGATGGCATCCTGAATAGGTAGGAATTTCTTAGCACTAGGTTTTTACTAGACATTTATTTACACAAAAATAATATAAACTCCAGTGGTGTTTAACAATAGGAAGCACTCCCCTCCAGCATTTAAAAAAATAATGAGTTGAGTTGTCCCTTCAGATTGCGAGTCTCAAGGAATTTGACTTCACCATTGCTTTTGATTTGTGGACCTCTCTGGGGTCTTGTCAGGTCACATTCAATCTTTTCTCTGAAAGAATAACGATTCTGTGATTCTGTGAAGAGTAAGACCTAGAGAGGTATATGATAGGCAGGATAGTGAGAAGAGCTTTAAAATGAAATGTATTGATTATACAATAATTTGTTCCCAAACCATAGGGTTTTGAGATTAAAGCAACCACTTCAAAGATTCTCGATAGATTATTTAACTTTGCAACAGTGAAAAATCTAAAGCACCATATCATAAAATAAATTTCAAGGCTGCATAAAATCAATTTGATAATAACTTAAATTTTTGGTTAGAAGGGGGTGTTCTGACCAAATCTTGTAATACTGGTTATTTCTCACAGAAGTCACTGTAGAAATAAACGTATTTCTGGTCTGCCACTGTATGTACATAGCATTGTACTGCTAGGATTTTCAGTAAACAATTACTAATGTTTTTCARGAGGGCTTCATAAGCCTTTGCCACTGTGATTCCACTGCGAACTGATTCCACTGATTCCACTGTGAAATCCTTTTGCTGTGTGACAAAAATAATTTGCAAAAGGGAAATTGCAACTGCCAGAGAGGAATACATGCAACAAAATCCTGAGATAATCAGATATAGGAGAAAACAAGGGGTGCAGATACTGGAGAGCTGACAGTTTTGGGTGTTCAATTTGTAAATTCAAAGTCATCTCTAAATTTGTAACTTATATTGAAATAATAATTCTTTCTTTCTTTCTCTCTCTATTTTGCTGCCTCAATGAAAATAGAGCAGCTGGATTTGTAGAAAACTCAAGCAACAAAGACCTTCCAGCTCTTCTCAAGTGGTCTGCTCTCTAATTCCTTGCATCACTTCAAGGAGTTCTACTCAATTGATGAAACCTAATTTTGACTTGTTCAGCCCTCAAAAACACTTTACAAAACCACCAAGAAATTTAATTTTAAGAAAACTATTTTGAATGATGTTTTAAAGGAAATGTGAAAGTTGTAATTTCTTTAGGAATGTTTGTACTTGTATTTTTTTTATATTGAGCTTTTATTTAAACAGGAGATCCTGTATATTTATAGATATTATTGTTGTAATAGCCTTGTTGCACTAGTAAAGGGTATGTGTGTTTCTGTACTATAAATAGTGTCTTTAATCAGAGGTATCATTTTAATCCTAGCTGTGGCCTTGACTAGTATATCACCTGCAGTTGAAATTCCATTAAAATCAATGGAAAAACATTAATTAGTGTGAATCCTTAGGCTCTAATAGACCTTGTGAAATGTCTGTSTTATATTTTCTGCTTGTAATTGAGAAAATATTTGAACTTGTGCTCCCCTTTTGAAATTTACTATTTTACCAAATGAAGCAAATTTTAAAGCATATGAAATTAAATGACATAGTTTATTTGAATATATTTTGTCTTTGCTGTGTATGTAACTTCTGAAGAAAAAAAACTRATTAAGAAAAAGCTATTTATTTACCTGAGCTTAGTTTATGATTTAAGGTGATAATTCTGTTTTAATAGTTCCTTTTGTGCTGGCTGTACTCAATCAACTTGAATTTTGTAGTCATTTGGGTTTTTTTAAGGACCCCATATGTTACCAAACAAGGATGAGGGTGCSTCTGCTTCTTTAGTGCAGTCCCTGCCCCCAAGTTGGACTGGCATATGTAGGACAAGAAAGTTGTTCAAGGTTGAGTAGTTTCTGATAAGACCCATTTATCTGTGCTCCAGCCAATTGTGAGAACTCCTGGCTCATGGCATGAGCAGCCAGCTCTCCACCCTCAAAGGTCAGGCTGGCACAGGACTGCAAAATTTGGTGTGTGTTGAATTAGAGGCAGGGAAAACCTCCCTCAGGATTGCAAATAGGTGGCAGCTTCAGAGGGAATTGTGAAGTTGTGAAAATGGTGTCTTTGGCCCATGATTCCATAGATATTTCAGGGTGGGTATTACAGGTTTTATTGTATCTAAGTGGTGATTTATGTCCTTATTCATTCATTATTGTCCACAAGGCACTGCCCTGTGTCACAGGCCTGTATTACCTAATTTTTTCAGACTGTTTCATTTTCATTAGCACAGCTG